ATAGAACAGATTATGTCCTAGATTTATTTTTATTTTTTTGCTTTTGCAGACAATATCAAACCAGATCTTACAGGTAATAAAAAAAAACTTTCTGCAGCCAAGATGTTACTAATAACTCCAACTCTCTCCTTCAATCAGCTTTTTTTTTTTTTTTTAAGGTTTTCCACAGATGCGCTTTGAAAAGGGCGGCCATTCTGATTGGACAAGATCACACTCCATGGCAGCTGGTTCATTTGCTTCTCAAGATGACAGATGGCAAAACACAAACACAAAAAGAGAGAGAGCCATGATTAAGTAATGAGGATGCCTGCCACAATGGGGGGAAACTACTTTTCACACTTTCACTGACAAACTTTGGCCCTGCTCAGTCAACACAGATCTGAAAACCAAAAATCTTAAACACACTTTATTTATCAGATTTTTTTCGTTTAGTTTAAAATTTGTAATTTTTATACTTTATTCAAAACATAAACTTCAGTCCACTTTGCAGTGACACATTTTTTCATTTAATGACATTCTCTAGATCAGTGACTTCACAAACGCACATATAGATATATTCACTGTTAATGATGATGATGCTTGCAAAGGAGTAACTGGGGTCCTGGCCAGTGTTTTGCCCCGCAGATGGGCAGCAGTGTTTGTGAACACCAGTGTGGCAGTTGGCAGGAATTGAGGGGGGGAAGGGCAGACTGCTATGGCACATGCTCCAATTCAAATTATCCCTGGACCCATGCAGCAGTGGAGGACCTGCTGGGGCCCAGGGTGGCATTCATTACAGCCAGACACAGGCAGCTTTTTTTTTTTTTCTCCCCTGGTCAGTCTCTTTATCATGACGCCAGCCCATTAAAAGCTTTCAATTTAAATTCTCCTTATTCATATTTCACCTGCCTGAATTTATAGATTTTTTTTAATTGGCACTTTTATTATTTAATTGATTGGTATAGATGTCAAACAGTGTGCAGAAAAAAACAAAAACATAAAAGCCTTACAGTTCAATAAACACGTCTCAATGTTGATTACTGAAAATGGATCTTAAATTAAAGTTTTTATTTTTAAAGAGTAATACCTGACTTTATTAGGTAGATGGGCTAAATTGTTAAAGATGGATAGCAAATATTACTATCACAACTTATTGAGGTTCAAACTGAAGATTTAATTAATGTAACTTGACAATTGAAACTAAAGAAAATAAATTTTTGACCTTTCTGTAGGAATCCCCACATTTAATCTAACTTCCAGTGACTGATATTATAAAAACAGTGATCACATGAGGAACAAAACTTAAAGAGTAACTCAGCATTTTGAAAAAGGATGTCATACTTTACCCTAAGTTTAGAGTACCCCTCACTTTGGAGGCTGTGGTGATTATAATTCTTGGGTCTACAGAAGGATAATTGTAGGGGCTTATGTCTGGTAAAGGATTTACAGAGATCTCAATGGAGGTTTTAAAATCAACCACTCCTCTAACAAGTTTACCCTGAGAGCAAACTGCAAGATGCTAAAAGAAATGTCTGAAATCTTCAAAAAAAAGTTACCACCAGCCATATAGCAGGGTTTTGCAGAGTAGGATGTTAAAGTCCATGCTTATAAAATCAGACTATAGAAGGTAAACTTTCTCAAAATGTGTGCTCTGTAGTAAAAACATGAACACCAAACTGAAATGTATATTAAAATCTAGACAAAAAGAATGATTTCTGGAATAATGTTCTTGAAAGGATAAATCTAAAGTTGTTTATTGGGGGGGGATATCAGAGCAGAGCAGATGTTTGCTGTTCTTAGTACACCATTGCAGTAAAAACGAAACAAAAAAACTCATACCAACTGTGAAGTATGGAGGTGGAAGTGTCACAATGTTTGGGATGTTTGGTAAAGCAAGCCAGCTCTACACGGAAACAACCATGAGTTATACCGTGTAATGGAGGTGGCTTGGAAAAATATGTTTGTATCCATTTTCTTACACACTTATCCCAAGTGACGTCGCGAGGGGTGCTGGTGCCTATCTCCAGCTGTCAATGGGTGAGAGGTAGGGTACACCTCGGCCAGGTCACCAAGGCAACACAGAGACAAACAGGACAAACAACTATTCACACACACAATCACACCTAAGGGGACTTTAGAGAAGCCAATTAACCTAACAGTCATGTTTTTGGACTGTGGGAGGAAGCCGGAGTACCCGGAGAGAATGCAGAAAGACCCCGGGCCGGGAATTGAACCTGCAAGGCAGCAGTGCTACCCACTGCGCCACTGTAAGACCTGAAAAAAAGAAATGCTCTGCGGCATTATCACCCCATACATATGAGATACGCTTAGAGATCAGAAGGTCGGGCTGTTTCAAAGGGCAGATTTCTGTAACCTAAAAACAAACAGTTCAATCAGGTTCACTAAAATCTGAAAATAATTTATGTCTGGATTTTAGCTGTAGCATTCAAATGACATCATTTGACGTAAGCATAGACTATTTGTCTATGTAAGATATTATACCTATCACTGTTCCCAACAACCTCAATAGGTCGTTACATTCATGCTGATTTTGCACAGTTTCTACCTTAGTTAGTTAAATAACATGCTGCTGTCATTTTGCACATCTCTGATGTTGCTGCTATTTTCAGATAATGTGAAAATGTCCATGTTTGTTATTGGTTGTTTATTCTCCAGGTTCACGGTTTTTATATTTTTAAGACAGTATTTTATTGTTTATCTTTTAACTCTCCACTATTATGTTATTCTTATACATTTTATATACCATTTTTTCTATAATCTTTTGGCTGCTGTAACGCCAGAATTTCCCTGGAGCTGGTGGTGCAGTGCTTTGGGAAATGAGTTCTTTGTACTCTTTTGGTCTGTTATTACTTATGATCATGTTCATCCCTTTAAGACCAGTGTGGATACATCTTTTGAAGGCTACTTTCAGCAAGACAACACACCTTGTTGCAAAGTTTAATTTGGTATCTTAGAACAGATGATGATTTCCCTGCACACCAATCGCCTCCACAGTTTTCAGATGTTAATCACAGATCACCTTTGGGATGTTGTTGAGCAGGAGATTCTCATGATGGATTTCCATCTGACAAAACTGATAGCTACTGTTTGAGTCGTATTATATCTTATCTCTGAGGACCATTTCTGATAACTTGTTGAATAGCTTCATTTTACCTCGAACTAGCAGAGAGCACTTATAAAAGATCGGTCGGTAGTATTAAACCAAAAAGATGAAAAAATAACTGCCTGATCTGATTCTTCATTTTGGTTCAGAATACGTTCGATCCTCCTTTATGGGTTATCTTATCAACTTTAGACGCTAATGATGTTTAAATGACAAGATTATTTACAAGTGTATTAGATGGTTTAAATCAGTCACTGAATACATCTCTACAGAAGAGCAACTCTTTCATTTGGGCTCCTCTTCCAGCACTGTGTATGTGTTTGTTATCTGATGAGAAGTAACCAATTATCTCCCTAATTACATCCGCATTACTGCATGAGAAATTAGCTTTCTGGTATTTCTTTTGCAGCTAGAGTTGAGTGAAGGGAGCACTGATGAAAAAACTGGGGAAAAAAAGGAATCGTAAATTAACACTGCTGGTTTTGCTTTATCTTCAGCTTTGGTGGAGTTAATTAACCGATTAGAATGTGAAATTTCCTTTATGTCAATTGCAGGAAATTGCTTATTTAAAAATTAAAAAGTGTGCCTATCATATTTACATATTTATTTAATGGAAGTTTAACATCCCCATGGGTATTTGATGCTTAATATGTTACATAAATAGTAATAAAAAGATAATAATGAGATATGTACGGAAGAGGATTAGGGCCACTGGAAAAAAAAAATGTACCGGTACTGATTTTTTAATTTTATTTCAGTATAATATGAGAAAAAAGAATTCTGACTTTTTTCCTCAGAATTCTGACTGTTTTCCGACAGCTAACAAACATGTTAGCATCAAGCTGTAGCTATGTCTGTTTTAAAAACTAAACTAGCTCTCTTGTTTTAATCACTTTCTGCTTTTCCATTAATGAAATAGCATTACCAGGGACCCCTCGGGCACATAAAAAGTCACCTAATTCTGTAATTTTCCACTAATGTGTTACTGGCCCTCCCAAACGACTCACATATTTGTCAGTGAAGCTGAGTGCTCCCACATCTCTTGCTTCATGGTGCCCATCTACATTAAGGTCCAAAATTCTGAGATAAAAGTCAGAATTCTGTGATTAAAGTCAAATTTTTTTCTCATATTACACTGAAATAAAATTTAAAATCAGTTAGTTTTTTTTTCAGTGGCCCTAATCATCTTCCGTAATTTTGACTTTTTTCTCCTCTGAGAAAAAAGTCAAAATTCTAAGAAAAAAGTCAGAATTCTGAGATTAAAGTCAGTATTCTGAGATTAAACTCAGAATTCTCAGAAAAAAAGTCAGAATTCTGAGAAAAAAAAAGTCAAAATTCTGAGATTAAAGTCAGTATTCTGAGATTAAACTGAAAATTCTAAGATTAAAGTCAGATTCCTCAGAGAAAAAAAGTCAGAATTCTAAGATTAAAGTCAGAATTCTGAGATTAAAGTCAGATTTCTCAGAGAAAAAAGTCAAAATTCTAAGATTAAAGTAAGAATTCTGAGATTAAAGTCAGATTTCTCAGAGAAAAAAAGTCAGAATTCTGAGATTAAAGTCAGAATTCTGAGAGAAAAAAAGTCAGAATTCTGAGATTAAATTAAAAATTCCGACTTTTCCCCCCCATATTATACTGAAATAAATTTAAAAATCAGTTAACTTTATTTATTTATTTTTTTTTCAGTGGCTCTAATCCTCTTCCGTAGATATGCAATGGGGAATAGATGTGTAAAAATGTCAATATGGGATCATAGATGAACGAGGTTGGTGGAGTGGGAGAGAAAAAAGAGTGAAATTGTCAATATCATTGTAAGGAGCGCACTAAAAAAAAAAAAAAAAAAAAAAAAAAGGGGCGACGGTCCGCTGCGCTGAAGTAAAGGGATGTCTACAGAGGGAGAGGAAGAAGAAGAAGGGGGAGGGTACCACTTTGTCACAGGCTGCTATGTAGATTAACCTTTCAATTAGTTGTTATCAGGTCCTCTCCATGTCTCGGCGAGAGCTTTCCAACCTTCGCTTTTAACACGTCAAAAGAAAAAAGAAAAAAATCCCAGGAAATCGCTCGGATACGTCGCTTCGCATTTTACCCCGTTCGACGCGATAAAGAAGAGGAGTACCCGAGAGAAGGGGGGAAAACTTGAAGAGGTAAACTACTGGCAAATATTTACCCCTTTTATTTCTCTATTTACCGATACACGCTCGTCCACGCGCGAAACTTGTCTTTAATTGTTTTTTTTTCTAGGTTTGCGCAACATCTAGGAAGACGATCTATATTGTTAACGAGGCTGTAAAATGTTCTACATGTGAGCGGAGAGTTGAAGCTGAAAAGAAAAACGGGGCTGACGATACATGATTGAGAATAAGCGGTGTTAACTTGTATTCCCCTGCTGAATGCTTCGCTCTTCCTCCGGGCTCTTTTTATTTGTCCTCAATGGGAGCTATTTGAGAGTTAATGGTGATAAATAATTCTACTTTTTTTTAATCAATGTTTGCGTTTTATAACATTTCAATTCAGCGTTATGTAATTTAAATGTCAAATATAACCGAGGAGGAGAAATATAATAATAAAAAAATAATGCACAAGGAAAAAAAGGCGACAGCTTAGGTACATCTTTATTTTTTTTATTTTTTTTTTTATTTTTTTATATGCTATGTGGCGCATTATGGAAGTGTTAAAATATAGTAAACGCGTTCCGCTTTAAGTCGGTGCGTTTTTATACAAACAAATGATCGATTTAACAAACAGCCAATTAAAGTCTAAAATGATCCAAATCACTTTCAAGTGTAACCAACTGTTTCAAGGAGGAATCCGAGTAAAGGTGGACCGGTCTTAAACCCCAAAGCAAATGAGGTTACATGTTTATTCCAACCGGTTTACATCCTTTTACTACGAGTTCGTAACTTATTAACAACCCTTTTACTTCCACTCGAGCGGTAAAATTCAGCGTTTTTTACGAGCGTTTAGTGTCGAGTGCCATCGATTCATCACCGGAGGCACCTTAAGAGGCGGGTTAACGGAGTGAAGTGACAGATCACACAGCCAGTGACGTGCCGCTCGGAGTGAGCTCATACATAAAGATTGACGTGCGCTTTATCAAACCAGGGATCGGATCTCGCCTTTACAGCCAATATTGAAGTTGCTGGGGAGGGCGCATTAGCGTTAGGTGAGGTTTAATGAGACTCCATTGGATTGTAATCAGCGTCATGTCGGATTCATGTAAACTACAACATTGTAACAAAATGGCGACCGGTAGTTTAGGTGACATCGGGGGTATCGCTGGCAGCACTTGACGTTTATCAGCCCAACTCGGCGACGCTCGGCTCTTTGGGGGTTTGTTACGCAGCTATTACTGCTTTTCTTCTCATTTCTTTGGCTAAGCGGCTCCGTGGGGGGGTTAAAGATGGTGTCGGACCAGCTGTCAGGATGTGAGCGTTGATTATACGGGTGTCATTAAGGCTCGCGCTCATCGGGTTGCTCGTTTGAAGAGCTGTCAAAGTGTCGCGCGGACAGCTAACGGTTAAAACTTTAGCTTGTTGTTCTGTTTTCTCCATGTTGTGTTTTTACAAAGCAGACACTAAGCGTGATGTTGATTTATTTTTCATTAAAAAAAAACCGCGCTGATGAAATAAAGATAAACTTTCGAAGGAACCTGAAACCGAAAATATGACTGTCGAGGAGGGAGTGAGTAGTTTTCCATAGGTCATAGGAAGTTTGTAGATGACTGTCACAGTGTTAAGAACTTGCTTTTTTTTAAATTTGGGAATCTGTCTCCCTTGAATTGGACATCTGGTTTGGTGTGCGGATTATAGTGTCAGACTAAGGATTAAGTCACTTTGATTTCTTTAGCAGCCATGACAGCGCCTGCATCTGTTTTTATCCATCTGCTCCTCCTGTTTTAGGACATCTTTAGAAAGTCCTGCATTCCTTGACTGCAGCCTGTTTTTAACACTGCATACCTAAAGTCAGTGAATCTGATGTTTGTTGACAGATATATAACACTAAATCTTCTTGACGTTCTTGTGTGCAGTGCAAAAGTATTCACACCCCCTGGAACTTTTCCACATTATCTCCTCCAAAATCAGTAAATGTTGAACCAACAAAAGGTATTGCATACCTGTGAAGTAAAAGAAAAGTGATTTATCTCTTAATTCTTTAAAATACAAACTCAGGCTGCATTTTTTTTAAGATTTATGCCTTTGTCTGCTTCATGCATCTGTAGACTGAAATGTTTACCTGTTCATCAAATCAGCTGAAGCTCAGTGAGGTTTGATGGAGTGCATCTGTGAACAGCAATCTGCCATTCTTAAAACAGATTCTTATTTAAAATTTGGTCTGCTCTTTGTTTAGGCAATTTCAACACACAAATATGCTGTATTCTGAAACATTTTTGTGGTTGCCCAGGCTGTATGTTCAGGGTTGTTGTCCTGCTGAAAGATGAAGCCCATCCTCACTCTCCCTCCATCCTTTTGCAGCTTCTAACAGGTGTTTAACCACAAACTTCCTGCGCTTTACTCATTCTCATCAGCCCCCCATTCCCAGTTTAATATAATCCCACCATCTCATCTGACCAGAAAAGTACATGTTTGCAGTGACCTTACATGACTTGTGGAAAAATGCAAACAGCTTCTATTTATGGCCTTTGTTTTTGCCCTGACCTATCATGGTTAGACACGTAGGATGCATTTCTAGCTGTTATCCTGTTGACAGCTTCTCCTACCTGAGCTTTGGAGCCTTACAGTTCCTCCAGAGTCTTGATGTAGGGCTCTACAGCTCTCTGATTAATGCCCTCCTCACCTTTAGATGAACCGGGATGACATACTGTTTTCATTTTTGGAAGATAAAGGGAACTGCACTCTATTGTTATATAACTTGACCCTGCTTTGAACTTCTCTAAATCTTTATCCCTGAGCTGTCTATGTTTCCTGTTTTTTTTAATACTTTCCCCCCCCACTTATGGACTCTGAAAATCATTATAAACCCTTTAGATTAGATTATATTAATGTAATATTAGAACCTCAGAAGACAGTTTGTTGTGCTCGATTGTATTGAGGGGTATAGAAACAAAGGGGTCCTAATACACACTTTTTGATTTGTTATATCATAATTAAGTCCATGACAGTTTTTATAGCTGCAACGTGATGAAAACTAAGTCATACTTTATTATTTTATGAAATTATGGGGTTAAAAAAATAACAATTGAATTGTATTATTTTTCTATCATCGTTTTAGTATTTGTAAAGTATTCATTTGTTTTTCTGTTTTCTATTACAGATTTGATCCCGGATTTTATTAAAGACCTATTCCAGGTCATGTGACACCATACCAGTGTGGGATTTACTCGTGCCAACTTTTCCTCAAGCTCATCTTGGATTGAGAACACATTCGTGGATGCAGTTGTGGAACCTAACTTCCTGATCTTTACCATAAGGATGTGGATGTACCTCGCGTTCGGCTGCAGAACGAGGGAATATTTATGGATCACGTTTCTGTGAGGCATATTGTTCAACCATGGTAAAACTTGCAAACCCTCTCTACACAGAGTGGATTCTCGAAGCAATACAGAAAATTAAGAGGCAAAAGCAGAGGCCTTCTGAGGAGCGAATTTGTCATGCAGTGTCCACATTGCATGGACTGGACAAGAAGATCGTCCTCGAGCAGTTGGATTTAAGTGTTCATGATGGCTCTGTCCTTAAGGTTACAAATAAAGGAAGCACCTCCTATAAGGACCCAGGAAACCCTGGAAGAATCGGATCAATATTGCCTGCAAACGCACCTTTGCCGCCAGTGGAATCTATATGGAATTCAAGCGATCTGCGGCATATCGATTGGAATAAAATACTCAAGAGGGCCATTGAGGGTCTGGATGATACCCATGGCTCCTCGCTTAAGAACATCGAGCGGTATCTGAGGAATCAGGATGACCTATCAGAAGTTGTTGACAACCCCGCCTTCCGGCAGAGGTTGCGGCTGGCGGCTAAGCGGTCAGTCAAAAATGGCAGGTTGTTAAAAAATGGCCCCCGGTATAAACTCAGCCATGGTGGTGTGGAGGGGAGGAACCCCAGGTGTCCAAGTGCTTCCCCATTGGTCCTGTCATCAGTGACGCTCCTCCCTCATGAGCGTGAGCAGGTACGTACACCTTAACTCTTGCATTCTGAGTTTTTTTAAAGAAATTAATCAATTTTTTTGCAAGAAGGATACATTCTGTCCAATTGGATAGGTCTGAATTCTTGAAGTGAGGTTTTTTTTTGTTTGTTTTTTAATTGGAAGCAGACGAATGCACTAGACAACTCTGCAGGTTTTGCGGCTACATGCAGTTAAAGCCTAGCCTGGGTGCCAGTCCGAACTTAGTCCCGCCCACAAGGTTTGAGTTCGGGGAAGTTCGGTCTGGCTCTGCTCCATAGTAGCACGAGTATTAAAGCCCACTGTCAGGCGATCCAATCAAATTGTCAGGGCGGGCTTTATCTGATGATGGACAGATGATCAAGAGTAACGTTATCAACCACGTGACCAAAGCGCGCTTGGGTGACAACAATAATGGCTGCCGCTGGAGAGTTTGGGTGAGTAGATTCTGCTATTAGGTCTGTTCTAGAAGATATCGACAGCAAATTAATTTTAAAAGAGGAACAGAGAAACGCGATCAAGTCTCATCTTCTTATTCTAGGCGTGAAACTGCACGCTTTGATTTTTGTGGACAACAACTATGCCTCGCTTAAGATACGTCACGCACTCTGTTGCTCTTATTGGTTGTAGGTCTATCCAATTGAGTACAGAGGCATTTTTTTTCCTGGTTCGTTCAAAACACGCCCCATAATCACAGCTCTATGGAGCAGTATCAGACTCATATTCTGACTAGAATTGAGTTGGACTACGTCAGGCTAGTTAAAGCCAGGGAGAAGGCCAAGAACAACCCCGAACTTTATTGGTTTACAATACTTATACTTCACTTCCTGATGAAGATTAAGATAGGAGGGGATGTGCCACCAATTATTAACCTGTGAATGTAAAATTTAAAGCATTTCCAGTCAGAGTAACTGCATCATGTCACTGTAAATCTTTGCTCTGCCAATGCTGCTACTTTGATCCTCATTTAAACTGTATGAATAGAAAGAAGTGCTTTCCTCTAAAAGTTGGGTCCATTGAAACCTAAAACCAGCCATATTTAAAGCTCCTAGTTTAGCTTTGATTTTGTTCTGCCTTATTCAAAACAAACAAAAACAGTTTGTTTAAATGGCTAGCTTAAACATTGATGCAAAATTAGATTAGCATCACTTACAGCTTCTTTTCAAGTTGACATTTGTCATGGAGGTTTATTAGATCAATGCACCACATAAAGAGGCTGCTATTTAATGCTAGTTTCATAAATGTGATCTTTGATTCAGTTCAAACGCTGCCAGTCTTTTTTAGATTAAGTAGAATTATTGAATTCTCCTCTAAACCCTTTTTTCCCTCAGCTGACTCATGTAGCATTGCTGGTTCAGATTAGAGTTTAGCTGTCTGTGAAATGCTCCCAAGCACTGAACGTTGCTTAAAACAGCTTCAATAAATTAGGCTGGTGATTGTTAGCCTGGCCAGCCAGACTAATTTACGGCGTGTACACGGCACATTAGTCTGGAGAGGAACCGGTAGAGCTTGATTTCAAAAGCGGGACGAACTGAGTTAGTGGAAACACTTTAGAAGCAATCAGCTGACTATGGCTGACATTATTTTTATAGAAAAGCTCCTCCAGCAGAAAGTTGTTGAAATGTTTCCTGCATAAAAAGTTCTTTTGGGACATAATAAAGGACATAAATAAAACATTGCTCTGTTGCAGCTGCAATCTTCACTGTTATGGTTACAGAAAAGCACTGTTGCATTATGGGCCACACTGGGATTGGCCCGGTCTGTGCCTTGAGATGACATGTGTTGTGAATTGGCTCTATATAAATAAACTGAATTAAAATTGAATTGAATTCAGTTTTAGACCCATGAGTATTGAGCCTTAACAGACTTACCCTTCGCTCTGTCAGTTATTCTGACCGACCAGGCTGGGTGATTGTAAGATATTAGTGATGTAACAGAAAGGTCATGTGATTTGTGTAAAATCAAACTGATAAATGATCATGCTTTTGCTGAATGAGGCTTTCTAGGGAAATAAGGTGCATTCAGTTACCTTGGAAGCTATCTCTGAACTGGGAAGTTAGAGAAGTTAGGACTCCATCATGGTGAAAGCTGTCGTAGTGCCTCTTATGTGCATAGTTGTAAGTCAGATTTTATATATGCAAGCATCACTTTTAGGCTTTTCAATTTAGTAAATGTAACATTGAAACAAGACTCTCTTGTACAAGTGTTTCTTGTTAAATAACCCTGTTTTGATCACAGTTTGTTTTTCATGAAAAAACCTGCCTTGTTGGATCTGAAGTCACCCTTGAAGATGACTGTGTTTTAGGTAAATCTGACTTTCTCAACATGCTAGTGGATTGTTTTGAATAAAAATCAGATCTTCTGGGTGACATTGGTATCCAATCAAATTGGTGCTTTGGTTGTGGACAACCATAATAGATCTCTTTAGGAAAAAAACTTACTTTATATGAATGGCTTTATATGATTTTTGAGGAGTAATACCCCCAAATTTCTGTTTTAAATGGTAGAGGTCTGAATTTAATCCTGGTCTGCTAACTTACCTTTAGTTCAGCAAATCAGAAGTTTTACTAAACAAACAGTTAATTAGAACAGGTAGGATTTTAAGGCTACTAGCTAAACTTCTCTTCAAAACAAGAGAAAAAAAGATCTTTCTGAGATGGTGAGGTGTATGTTTTAAATGTTTCCCTGAATGACCACAGCTGACTTAAATGAGAAGATCATTAGTAGGCATCTGGTAAACTTGGAGACCAGCTGAAGAGCTAATTCAATGATTTGAATCAGGTGTTGGAGCAGGGGCATGTCTAAAATTACAGGCCATCTGCTCTTTAGGACTTACGTTTGAGTATAAGCAGTTGATTGGGTTTATTTAATCCATATTTATATGTTTTTAATCAAAAATCTCTCTTCAAATGTGTTTACTATTGCCAGCTGAGTTGTGCCACTTCTGATGTCATCAAATGAAAGGAATTAGCCTTTTTTTAATCTTCATTACCCTGCTGTGTTTTTATTGTCAGTGTACATTCATTAGTGGAAAACAATCCAACATTGTTATCTTTAGCAGAACCTTATTTTTATCAGTCTCTTTCCATTTAAAAATGAAAATTAATATCATGCTATAGTTATTCGACCTTTTTATATTGTCTAAATATGCTGGAAGGTTGCGAAAAGGCGACCTTAAGCCTTAGAGTAAAAAAACCAAAGTATTTATCAAAGTCAATCCTTATAAATCAATGTTTTTAGTTTTTTTTTTTTTTAAACAAGAGAGCTTGGATAATCAGGAAGCCATCCTAGCAGTGTATGGTAGGCAGTTTGCGGTGGTCTTCCTACAGGTAATGCAACCCTATCCTAATGACCTTAAAGGATGGGATTGGCTTGTCTTTTGAGTTGCAGAAGAACCGGCATTTTATTGGTAATTCGCAGGGGCATGAGAATGTGTTGAGTAAGGAAGCCAGAATGTTCTCTGGCTGCATGCAGCTGTTATGAGCTTCATGCAAACAAACATGCCAGAGGGAGGAAATAAGAACCTCACAAACAAGCTTTCAGGTTAGCATTGATTTTGCTGCTTTTGCCTCCTCTGGTAGTTCTCTCTCTGATCCCTGAATATAGAGATGTTTTCTAGAAATGGCAGTACCTTTTGCATTAGGAATTGGAAGTTTTTGGATGGAAAACATTTGTCATTGCGCAGCTTCAAGTGCCTGTTCGTCATGAGGGCTTTTAACTTATCTCGTGTTGAGGCTTATCGAGATTAAGCGCGGTCTCATGCTTTATGCACAGGTTGTGCAGCTAAAGTGGTGAGCTGCATCAGGCTTCAGAGATGTCACCCCACTCCTCGGCAGTTTTGGAGTGAATAATCAGGAAACGACACCTTGATACTGCAGCCACAAATGAGACGTGTCTGTGGTCAGGCCAAAAGTGAAACCGAGAACTGCTTTAGAGACACTGTGTCCTACGATAGCTCTGAGGAAAGGACCCCTCTGTTTTTCATTTGGTGCATTTCAAGCCCTCACTGCCAGCCCTTGATGACATCACCTCATCAGTTCAGGTTTAACGTTTACTTCAAAGGATGAGACATATCAATCTGCCGACAGAAAGCATGCGCATGCACTGAGAATAAGCAATATTTTCAGGTTAAAAAGAGCAGTCTTGGTTTAGAGTTTATTAGATTCTGAAGAGACTCTGGCAGGAACAAAGACGAGGAATGAGAGTGTTTTTTTCCCCCTGCTGTGTTATGCAACCACTTGAGCTCTCTCTCTACCAGCAGTGTTCTAATAAGACCCCACCCCCTCACTCAGGACAGTCTGCTCTTTTGAAGCAGCATAATTTCCTGTAATGTTCTTAATTTAGAATCCCCCAAGTAAATCATCACCAGCATCTCTACAGCTGTGTTTATCCTTCTATGTTTTGCATTTTAGCCTTTCATAAATTGCAAATTGCTATTGATTTTAATCACCAGAGCATAGAAAATTCCTTGTGGAAATGAATCTGGTTCTTAGATTGGACTTCATAGCTCAGAGCTTATTATGATTCTGTTTTGGAAATTTCCATATGTTGTCAGTTTGCTTACTTAATGATTAAACCCAAAATTTAAAGCATTAATCAAGCACCTTAAGGAAAAATGAATAGAAAATGTTCTGATTGATGATTGTCCCAGTTCCCAATTTTTAAATGCATTACCTCTTAAAATTCCCACAATTTTCTTTGGCCCATTATGTTATCAGATAAGGCTTTGGGAAATAGTTTCTGTTGGGTTCAGAAATACTGTCTCATTCAAGAAAGCCTGCAGCTCATTAGATTTCTTTGATAATTTGCAGCACTTAATCTCTTAATAGAAGCATTACAGTTTAGTGTTACCTATAACATTTATTTATTGGTATTTTGCCTTAGATGTGTAGATGTAACTGAAGATATATGATAAATACCAGTACTGAAGATTTTTTGCCAAAAATCCAAATTGCGATTTTGTTTTGGTTTTTCTTTGCAGTAACCACAAACATCTAGATGTTTTGCTCCATGGTTGTTTTAATGCTCTTAAAATGCCAAGTTGTACAGAGTCCATTGGTACACAACTTGAATGTAATCGTTGGATGAAGACGTGCTTAATTCTGGATCTGCATGCTAGCTGCAACACTTTTCTTCCCTTCTGTGTGGCAACAAACCCACTTTTTACGTGTTACTGAGAATTTAGCTTTGATAACCGTGATTACATTGCAAATTCAATTAATTGTTAGCCCCTAACAAATACTTGTTAAATGTGGGAATAGTTATAAAACGAATTATCTTTTTTTGCAGGATTTAACATGTTTCTACTTTAAGCACTTTGTTGAATAGCTTGATAAGCTCATATTAGCATGCTAATCAGCTGGAATATTATCTTTGGCAGAAAAGCTGCTTCCCAAACATACCAGACGTAGCTTGTTTTAAATGAGTCTCCTATGAAAAAGAGTGATGCTCATGCTTCAAGGTTTGAAAGCAAGATGGTGTGATTTTAGAAATGTTTGCTGAAATGAGCCTAATTTGTCTTTGTGGTTTTGGAGTTACACAATGTAGTTGTCCTCTTTCAGCCAGCTGATTGGCAGAGGGAATCATCAAGAGGGGAAAAGGGATCCGGCTTTAATCTGAGTCAGGTAAAGTCAGAAAACAAAAACAAAAAAAGCATCTGCACTGAAGCTTTCTTTTGCAAGCCTTTAAAAGGTTAAAATGGTGTGATGACAAATGTAGCAGGTATGAAACCGAAACCATCTAAATAGACATTATTGACGTTCAAGTAAAGCCTTGCCAAACAATCTTTGACAAAAATAATTTTTAAAAAAATCCATTAATATGGTATTTATTGACAAATCAAAAGAAGCATTATAAATCAGCTGAATATATATATATATATATATATATATATATATATATATATATATATATATATATATATATATATATATATAACTTTGTAATTTACCAACATAAAGCCACAAAGTGACGGTTTCAAAATGTATAGATGTTAGCTTTTCCCTCATGAAAACCACTGAGGGTTTTCATGCTGTTTCAGTAGCTTCTCATGCAACTAATACTCCAGATATTGACCCAGCAGGTTGGGAAATAGAGTAATCATTGATGTGGCAGTAAACTGCTTCCCCTCTCTATAACAACACATTGATAGAGCCAGGAACAATGACCAAACTGCTTCCCTCCTGGGCATCATTTGAATTAGGTGACAGGTTGAAATGAAGGCGCTCCAGCTCCTCCTGTTCTGTGTATGTCGACATGAATGAAATGACAAATACATTTTCCGCGTCGTAATGAGCGAGGAGGGAAAAGCTTGAGATTAGCACAGCGGGGCAGGTTTAAAAGATACAAACTTGGTTCAAATCAGGATGCTGATCTGCGTCATAGAAACTAGGAACTAATTACGGGCATCCCCAGAGTGCCGTTCAGAGCTGTAGTTGGTCGGTAAGGCCTTAGTGTGTAAACTGATGATGAGGTGGGTTATTTATGGTCACACCCAGAGAGTGTTATTTTCCATTATGAACTTCCTCCTAGAAGTCTGTTTGCCGCTCTGCTTGGGCCTTTTCTGTTTGATCTTTAGCCCTGTCTTCAACCAGATTTAGACTGACTGCTGTGGGAAGTCATGACATGAAGTCTGCTTTACCTTCCTTCAGTCTGAGTGATCAATGGGGAGAAATCCTCTTAAACCTTTAGCTCATATTCCACTCCTCCTGAACTGTGCCGTAAGCCCTTAAATGAGTGTTTGTTCTGCGACTTGCAACATTTACAATGGATCACGGCTGTAACAATGAGAGCATGTTATATTATTGAGGTAATTTGATTACATGCTGGTTAATCCTTTCAGACTCGAGTGCAAGCTTTAAGAATTGGATTAAGCCCTTAAACTATGATTACCAAGATCACTTACACGTTCAGATGTAATGGATAAAAGGAGGTGGATCTCAAATGCTGCATATCTCTGAGGATAAAAGTCATTCATTATTCATTTCTAGTCTGCGAGAACTCTACTCTTTTTTTTTTCTCTTCTGTTCTCTGAAGCTTCTGCTTTCAGATTATATTTTTGGCTAAGTTTTATTAAACCCACAGTCTAGTTTTATCCTGTTGACTCAACCAGAAATACGACTAGGGCCACTTCCCATTCGCATGTTTCAAAATTTTTGTTTCTGTCCTTTTTCTTCCCTCAGCTACGAGTTGACCCCATCCCAATATGCAGTTTCTGTCTCGGGACAAAAGAGTCAAATCGAGACAAGCGACCGGAAGAGCTGCTGTCCTGCGCGGACTGTGGAAGCAGTGGTAAGTGAGATTCTGTAAAGCTTCAGCGGATGTTTTTAAAACCTTTGCTCTCTGTTCCTGAGATTATTTTTAAACTATCAGAAAGTGGAATTATATCTGAGTATCTTTAAGTATTTATTGTACTATAATTATAAGTTATTTTGAGATCAGTGTAACCGATTCCTGATATGCGCCTCCAATTTCTGTGTGGCCCATTTTTGAAACCATTATTGCTTTTTCTTCATCCATTTATTTGATGCAAATGATACAATGATCATAAACATTACATAAATCTCAATTGAAATAAAAAAATGATTTTTAATTTTTACAAATCAGCAAAACATCGGCTGTAGGTAGAAAAGGAGGAAACAGAAGTGCAAGGCTTCATGAGATCTCAAGGCATGGCTGCTGAATGCCCTAATGAACCAGTGAACTCATGCATGTATTGGCCAATGGAAGAAAAAAAAGACTGATATTTGCCCAAAATATTAGTTGGCTGATCTATTGATGTGTCCTTAGTTGTAACTTCAAGTTTCAATGTATTCTCGGGATTATAAATAAACAAGGGTAACATGTTTTTCTATAGAGCTTGAACATTTTTGGAAAATCTGGGATCTGCTGAAAACATACTTAATTTAATTTAAGCATTTATTATAAACAAAACATATATCTCCAACTAAAGCTTTAATACAGAAGGGATGATGTTTTAAAATTAACTGCAGGAGAAAACGATTGTACTGCTTTTGTCCCAGTTAGGGGTGTGGGAAACATTGATTTGGTGACATATCCTGATTTTCAGCTGTCCCATATAATATCAATCTTTCAGTTCCTAGTAGCGAACAAAAAAAATAAAAATGTTTTACCTAAAACAATAAGGGGAAAATGGGCTACCTCTGCACCACCACTCTGGCAGATGGCGCTGTGGAGCCTTTTTGCCACCATTTCTGTTCCTGAGACAGTCAGAGTGGAAGACGTGGACTGACTCAAATCCCGAACATCATGGATACCAAAATAGCTAAATGATCAATATGTTCTAATGAACATCTACAACACTTGCTTTTTTATCTATACATTTAATTTGATAGTTGGGGAAAACATTGCAATATATAGTGATATCGCAATATCGTAACAATATCATATTGTGAGCCAAGTGTTGTGATTCGTATCACACATGCCAGTACTCCCCGCTAGTCACAATTGGCATGCACAGACATTGTAATAATAAAGTTATATTGGTGCTTACCACTCCTAGCATTTCACAATGGTTTTTTCATCATAGACCACACAACTATCTTGCTAAAGTTAATTCATAGGGCGATGTTGAAAAGCAAAAAAAAAACAAAAAAAAAAAAAAACATTCTGCCTTTTCAAAGAGTCAAACGTTTTTTTTAACCTATTTGGTGGGATTATATGTTTTCTGCTTTCCTTTTCTCATGTTTTACCTCCATGAATCGGAGAAATTCTGCTTTTTTTCTTTCACCTTAATGTATCAATGAAGATCTGATGGACTGTTTCAAAACTTGGACTATTTAATATGAAGATGTTTGTTTTTTTCCTATATTTTTGATTCTTACCAAGACATGCATACAATTGTAAAACCTTTGTAAAATGCTTAGGAACCCTGCAGTTTACTTGTGATTCATCAGTGGTAACTATTCCAGGTGACCATCATAACCCAAAATCATTAAAATAAAGTCACATTTTCCTCCAGTTCAGATTCTGAGTTAGAATGCCTCAGTAATGAGCTCCTTCCCTCCTTAGAGCAGATTGTAGGTATTTCCTTTTAGTGATCCTCTGTTCCCGTTAAAATTACCTCATTTATGTTTGAACAATTATTTTAAAATGCCGTAAGGAATTGTTCTCCTGGTGACATTTTTATAGCTCAAATTTGACAGAGCGGCTTCGAGGTGGTTTTCATTAACCACTTTTAGTGTACACAAATTGTGCTCTCACTGTAAAACAGCTGTTTTACAATCATGGGAGGGAAGCAGCGTGAGAGAGAAGGCGAGCTTTTTACATGACTTTCATGGATCGGCTTCCATTAGAAAGAGCTCTGCTGCTGTTTCTGCCTCATTAAGATCAAATTATCTGTAATTAGCAACTCAGATGTTTGATCATACTGTTTTTAGGCACACGTTGTGGCTAGGAGAGAGAGTGGCGTGGACACGCGGGCACACCATTGTTTTTTTTTATGATTTTTTTGAGTTAATGTTTAACTTTAATGTGTTAAGAGATGGAAAATTATACCTGTTACTTGTTGACTTAGCTTTTGCTGGTAAAAACATGTCACACTAAAATCTGTTTTTGTTTCTGAAGGGCATCCATCATGTCTGAAGTTCTCTCCTGAGCTCACCTCAAATGTAAAGAGATTAAGATGGCAGTGCATTGAATGCAAAACCTGCAGCTCCTGTCGAATACAGGGGAAAAATGCTGTGAGTATAAAACGTTCATCTTAATGCACCATTTTCAGTGCTGTTGGCTTGACTGTAGATCTCCGAGGATTTGTCAAGATTTGCAAACCCTCCTGCGTGCAGAATTGCTCTTATTTCTCCTTAAGACGGTAATGACAGTGGTGTTACACATGTGCAACTGGGACATCACTTACACCTGCCTGGCGTTCCCTTTCAGGATGAGATGCTTTTCTGCGATTCGTGCGATCGGGGCTTTCACATGGAATGCTGCGATCCGCCGCTTTCAAGAATGCCAAAAGGTGAGGTGTTTACACTGTCTGCCATCTCTGCTTTTCCCCCCTCTGCTGTCAGTTCAAAGCCTTCGCTTCACAGACGGCCGTTTGGGGCTGTCACTCAGCACACTGAGAAGCAGCAGTGGCTTATTAGGGGCTTTGCATGCATATCAAATTGTTCCAGCATCCCTGGGGAGATCTTCTATCTCTGGATTACAGTACTGACCCTACAGCAAGGCTTGTAATGACGCGACACATACTGTAGTTGGGTATTTTGCAGGCAGCGCATACAAATCACATAGCTTAGCCCAACAAGCTCATGTGAAGTCTATTTCATCACCCAGAGAATTGACCCCATGTTCTTCCTATGGATTTTCTCTTTGTGCTGAGAAATTGATTGGTCATTGTGAGCAGTGTGATTCTCACCGGCGCCATGCATTAAAGAAAACGTTTGAAATGAATGTACCATTTATCCGGTCGGTTGATGAACCCGCTAAAAATAAAACGGTACTTCTCTGTCTGGATGCCCTCCAGGAACCTGGATCTGCCAAGTGTGCAGGCCAAAGGAGAACGGCAAAAAGCTGCTGCACAGGAAGGCAGACGAGATCAAGCGTCGATATGCAAAGCCGATCGGACGGCCAAGAAATAAGCTCAAACAAAGAATGTAAGTGGGCTCTGATTAAAGTAATAGCATCTTATTTAGCCAGCAATGAATTTTCCAATTGATATAATGTTCAATTAATATGTAAAACCCTGTCAGTGGTACATAAGTGTCAAACATCCATATGAAACAAACCAAGGCATATAACCCTCAAACAAAACTAAGAGATAAAGGAAAATTTAATGTAAATGAAAGCAATCTACAATTATTGCTTTCAAGTGTTTCTCTATTTACATTATGGGAGAAAGGCCACAAAATGTAACCCATAAAGAGGCTGATTGTCCTTTTTTACCCAAGCACAAGATTGGAAAGTTAGATGCAAGGAAAACATGTAGTAGATGGAAAATATGCAATATTAAAATGGTTGTTTAGCCTTCTAAGGGGATTCACATACCACTGCTGAATTGGAGACAAGGTTAGAAACCTCTTATTCAGGCTACAGAGAATAAAGATTGGACTGTTGCTTAGTGGTCTGTCTTTGCAGAAGAAAGTTAAAAATGCATTTCATTTGGAGATCAAGTTCCGAGAGTCCGGGTGGAGAATGCAGAGACAGAATTGAGTGTCAAGTTTCCACAGTCAGCGATAACTTAGGGAGCCATTTCATCTGCTGCTATTGGTTAAATGTTTTTTTTTATCAAGTCCAAAGTCAGCATAGCTGTGCAGCAGGAAATTTTAGCGCTCTTCATGTCTTCTCCTTATAATATGCTTTATAGAGACAGCTAAATCTACCAATACATGCTTTAATGATAGTTGTATTATTGCCGACTGGGAAATTCATCCAAACTAAAGATGAGGAATTATTTTCACAAGGAACAAGAGAAGGAGGAGACTGTTAAAGCTTAAGGTTTCATAAAGCATTCAGGAGAACCACATGCTGATCCCTTTTGTGGCTCACAGCAGTTAAACAAAAGGAGCTCTGAATGCTTATCTAGTTTAAATACTTCACAGCACATGGTTGTTAAAATGAACTGATCTTGTGTAATATTTAGATATTCTAAAACTAAACTCTATTTGTTTTTTGTTTTTTCTGAGCTAACCAATTTGCGTGGATGTATCTTATTTCTAAATACGTAAATAAAATACTCGTCTGACAACACGACGTGTTCTTCTTGTGCCTGCAGGTCTGTAACCGGTGGTGATGGCTCCATGGTAGCACTTGGAGGAAGGGGGTCACCTGGTAGGGGTCAAAAGATTACCGTCTGTTCCACACCTTCATCTGGTCATGCTGCATCTGTGAAGGACGCCAGAGACAGATTGACTGTCGCAGAGCCTTGTTGTGCGGTCAACGCCACCCAATTCACCCCCTCCCCTCCCACCACCACTCCCTCCCTCACGCCCACCTTCACTCCAGCCACACTCACTGTTAACAAGAAAACCAAAGGGCTTATTGATGGGCTTTCCAAATTCTTTACTCCTTCCCCTGTGGGCCGTCGCTCGCGAGCCGTAGCCGTAGAGTCGAGCGCTAGAGACCAGGGCGTGGCCAAAGTGTCCCAGTCACCAGAATCGTTCGCCTTTGCCGCAGACGCCTCTCATAAGATAACCCCGACATCGTCTGCACTTCCTGCCGCTTCCATGTCACCAGGACTTAGCTCCCCCCCGCAGGTGTCCAGCAGCTCCACCTCAGCCAACTCACCTCAGAGCTCTTCCAGCCAGTCTAGTGTCCCTTCGCTGAGTAGTCTCTGCAGTAGCAGCCAACTTAAGGGACTCTTTGATGGACTCTCTCACATTTACACGACTCAGGGCCAGTCGCGGAAAAAGAGACTACCGTGCTACGCACCACCGAAGCGCAGGCCCCTTAAGCAGGACTTGTCCCAGTGCCTTGGAAAGAACGAGATTATCAAAAATAGGTTACAGCCCACATCTTTGGGGGCTGACCGACCCAGAGGACCCCCATTTAAGATGGTCAGTCATTTCAAATGCAACCCTTTCCTTAAAAATCACAGGACACTAGGCAGGCTGAAGTATAGAGTGAGAGCTCAGAAGGGAGCCACCTCACCAGGAAAGGGAGACTTGACAGATGGAAGAATTAAGCCTGAGAATAACCATGGTAAGCAAAGGCTCAAAATACCAGCCAAGACCTGCGTCTCCACACTTTTAAGCTTCTTCTTTATTTATTTTTCTTTTTTTCTTTTTATTTTTTTAAGACTGACACTAATAGTTCTAAAGCTAATATTGTTTTTTCGAAGTCACCCTCAACATTCTAACAGGCTACTAATCCTCCTCCTGATTTGAATGAGTTTTAGTTCATTAACACAGTTTCGTTGCGTTTTGCCTTGGCTGCGAAGTTTCAATGGCTTCCATCTTCCTTGCCCGTTGGCTTTTTGTCATAGTGCATGGCCCACTAACTCCCTCATGCCGCTCCTTGCTCTGTCCTTGACCCTCTCCAGTAGTCCACACATTGTGATCACCACATAGTAGAGCCTGTAGTCAAACTGCGCTCTTCCTCATCCCACCGTCTTCTTTTCAGCCTCACTTCCAGATGTCATTGGACACACACGGACACACACACACACCAGTGTTTCAGCCACCCAAGTTGACTCAGAGCTGACATGATGATTACACCCAGAAGTGCACTCACCCTTACATTTTACTGTCCACCACATTGAAGTCCTAGTAAAATGATAGAAGGGAAAAATAAAGGATACCTACCGCAAGAAGTTCTAAACCCCTGCCATAAAAAACTCATCATATATTACTTTTTAAAAGGGTTAAAATGCCTGAATGTTTTGGGGTTTTTTAAAACCATTTTTAGCTATAAACTTTATACCTTTATTTGGGTTTTAGTGGTTTTAAGTAATATAGCAATATGACAGTGCATTTGTCCAAAGTAGAGAAAATATATGAACAGTTATCAGGTGTATATATATATATATTTGTTTTAATACACTTCTGTACTGCTGCCGTTTTTTTGGATTGTGTCTAAATTTATTTCACACGTCACAGACTAAATGAGAAATAGCCCAGGATTGGATAATGATGAAAGGAAACCTCTGAATTTACGCTGTTTTATTTTTTAGTTGAAGGGCTTGAAAACCATCGATCATTTTCATTACTGCACTTATTGCTGCGCTACTTTTTGTCACATAGACTTAGATTTATTTTGTCATTTATTTTGTATACACAATTATTAACAAAAAGTAATTCCGTTAAGAACAGCTCTTTAGACAATTTAATATTTTTTTAAAGCGCAGCCTTGAAAAATGGAATACAACAATAAAAACAGTGATATAAACATATGACTGTGCATTTACAGTTCTAACATTTTAGTTTTTTTTATAATAAAATATATATAATAAAATACATAAATAAATAAATAGATTAAATAAAGAAATAACATATAATAAATAAATAATAATATATATTAATTATTTATATATTTATATAATAATAATAAAAATTGAATAAATAAATTAAATAATATCATAATTGGAAAAAAAAGAAATTTATTTTTTCAACTTGATCAAATTTGAAGAAGTCCAATACGTCTCAATGTTATTACCCAGTAATATAAATCCATAAATATGGTGATGACACCTCACTTCCACCCCTAATGGGTTTTTGTTTTGGTGGTTAAGTCATGTTGTTGATGTCTTTCATGAAATTACTGCCTGCTTCCCAACATGAGTTGCTTTTCATGTCAACACTTGCTCCCCTCACTGCATCAGCTTCTTAATTCATGGGAAACTGTCTTGGTGGATGACTAAGCACATGAAAGCAGTTACGCAATTAGAGTGATTTAGTTTCACTTCATTACATTAGGGATTTTAATATAAACATCCAAAGATGATACATTATGAAATCCCTCAGAGACACAGACTCAGCAGCAGTACTCACAGCACAAAAGCACATTTACATAGAATGCATTTATGCGATTATTCAGCTGAGGCTGCTTGAAACGGGTTGGTGTTTTGATGCCTTGGTGTTGATTTCTCACTGTGCCTGCAACAGGCCATCTCGGCAAGCTGCGTGTGAAGCAGGAAGCCCAAGAGGACTCGGCGGCTATGTGCAGAGATCACGTCTTGGAGGAGGACATAGAGATGTTCGCTCGAGTCCAGGAGCTTGCTGCTCAGGTGAGAAAATGTGCAGAATAGCTTTATTAAGCGATTAAAGTTTTTCTGGTTTTTATCAGTAGTGAGAAAACTAAACAAAAATAAGTTAAATGGAAATAAATATTAATTGTTGAACTTTTTCATTTATGTATTTGATAGTTCTTTGTTTTGGGAAAGTAGTAGACGAAAGGGTTAGCACTGTATAAAATGAACTAACACTAACACAAACACATATCCCACATTCAGAGAGTTGTATTCATCCATCCATTATATATATCCTGGTCACATATATACCGTCATTTTCTGTGCGTCCAACCATATATGTATGTAAAGCTTTACCCATGTAAAAAGATTAGCTATAAACTAACAGCGAGCCTTTCTTTTTGTACTTTAAATATGAAAACTGAGATTGAAAATGTGTCCTTAAAAATGACAGAAATCTGACATCTATCCAGCAATCCGTCCATCTGTCTGTCCTTACAGTCATCTGTCCATCTATTGATCCACCTTCTATTCTTTCCCTCTCTGTCACCTCTGTCTGTCCTTCCTTCCTTCCTTCCTTCCGTTCGTTATTCCTGTAGTTTTTTTTTTTTTATACAGTTTCATATTTTAAAGAGTGCAGACATTTTCCAGAGTTTCTGTTGAAAATTGGCTAAAAAGGACATAGAGCTCCCCCCATGATAAACATAAAAAAACGAGTAGAAGCATCTGAAAAGTGGCTTTTTAATGTAAAATGTTTAGGACGAGTGTACATCTGTAAGGTCCAATATGTTTCCGTTTAGCTTGATGGTGGGGGGAGGTGCTCTTTATTTAAATTAATAAATACAGTAAAATTGCTTAAGGATTTGTTTGAAATGATCAAATGCTGCATTTTGCTCAGTTAGATGACAGAGAAGTTGGCCCACGTTTAGACTAAGACGTCTATTTTGCTCACAAAAATGTATCACAGCGCATCTTTCATTCCCTCACAGAAAACGTTTAAAACTCAAACTTAATTTGATTGTGATAAAATTTTATTCATTAACAATGAGGGATACTGGGAGTTTAAATGATGAGGGTCATTAAATGTATCTTTTTGTCTTATAGAAAACAGGCTTTTTGACCAACAGCGACTTTACGCGGCGCCCAGCTGTCATCGAGTTCGGGAAGTACGAGATCCAGACCTGGTACTCCTCACCGTACCCACCTGAATATTCAAGGTGATGTTTATCTTTTTTAACTTCAGGATTAAGAGCCTTTTCTTTCCTCTCTTGGTTCTGATAAATACCAGTCATAGTAGATTTCTAAACCTCTGCTTTGAATATTATCTCCAACAGATTACAAAAGCTTTATCTGTGTGAGTTCTGCCTCAAGTACATGAGAAGCAAAAACATTCTCCTGAGACACACAAAGAAGTGCGGCTGGTTTCACCCTCCTGCCAACGAAATCTACAGAAAGGACAACCTCTCCGTGTTTGAGGTAAGCATTGCTTTATGGCAACAGAGCAACAACTATGCACTGCGTGAGTTTTTACCAGTGAATGAGGTCAGGAATGAGCAGAGGGAAAATACTAGCCTTTTAAACACTGTCCCCTTGATTTCTGTCTTTCTCTTCTTTTTTTTTTCTTTTTTTCCGTGTTTAGGTTGATGGAAATGTCAGCAAACTCTTCTGCCAAAACCTCTGCCTGTTAGCCAAGCTTTTCCTGGATCACAAGACCTTGTATTATGATGTGGAGCCTTTCCTCTTCTACATACTTACGAAGAATGATGAGAAAGGCTGTCATCTTGTGGGCTATTTCTCCAAGGTATGGATTACAGAGTGATTTTATGGGAAGCGACGGATTACGGCACTTCATTTTTTTTTTTCTTCTTTGAAAGATTCTACGGATGCAGAAAGAGTTCAGTGCAATATGTCTGTTTTTTCAGGATGGAAGTTAGCTTTCCAAACTGATTTAGAGGATTTAAAGTATTTCTTTACCAGTTTTCTGACCAGCCTAATAACATATTTCATCAAGCAGATTTCCTGATAATAATCAGTTACAAAACTAATTTCTGACACTGCGATGCTCTTAAATTGAAAGCCATTAGGCTTATGCATGTGTCTGTGTGTTATGTGTGTAAAGACAAGGACAGTGGCAGGTGCAGTAAATTGCCAGCTTCAGCAGAGCTCTGACATACTTGATCTGTTTCTCCTTCCCTCAGGAAAAGCTTTGCCAGCAGAAGTACAATGTCTCCTGCATAATGATTATGCCTCAGTACCAAAGGCAAGGATTTGGAAGGTTCCTTATTGATTTCAGTAAGTTCTTTAATGCTTGTTTTTAGACCACTAGAAACACAATTTCACCCAGTTTATTGGCCTTTTCAGATAATTTCAGATTAAAGGGGGGACCTGTACCTTGTGGCAAGGTGCTGTTATTTTGTTAAGGCTTTCAAAGAGTCTAATCAGGAGCATTCATGTGCAGTGCTTAGGCAATCACACATGATTAGGAGCAGAAAACAATATTATGGTTGCTTGTTATTCAATGGCTAGCTGAGTGTTCATCTAAACAGCTATTTCTATACAAAAAAAAAATCTGGCCCCAATTCTTTCTTGTTGACTTACGATGAGGTGTAGATGTTGCTTTTATGTTTGAGTGGTAATAAATGCTGCACATACAATATTTATGGCTCTGCGGTCCACTTAAGGAAACAGTTGCTGCCTTGAGTGGATTTCTGTGTTTAGCCTGGCAGTTTTTTGTCTGTATAGGCGTTTTTTTATTTTTTTTTATTTTTTCCTTCCAAGACTTGTCGACTTTGTTTGTGTAAGAATGGGTAAAAAAAAAACAAAAAAGAAAACAGGGGCGAGCAGAAGGAGGGCGGGCGGTAATGGAGCATTTGATTTCCTGTTCACTTTTGGGAGCCATTGAGACACAGAGATGCGAGAGGATCTGTGATATTGAGAGTGAGCAGATAACAAAGACGGGGATTAAGGGAGATTGAACGCAGCTGAGTTCTGAGCTCTTTGAAGGCTTTATTGGAAAATGTAGCTTTGGTGCTGGAAGTTGTTTAGATTAAGATTTTTTGTTATATTGGATTGTTTTGGAGGAACACATTGTCACAGGTAGCTGCAAGAGAATGTTTGCTATGAAAATATTCTCTTTGAACTCGTAGCATGAAGGAGTTTCTCAGTTCATTTTAATTCTATATTCCTTGTACACAAAGACTCATGATCAGAGGTTTAAATATAAATATTGTCACAATTGTTTTGAGATTTAAATGGGCTTGTTTGGTTCTCAAAAGTGGATGCCATTAAAAGACATTAATTAATTTTATTCCCCTCATAACAGATGACCCTTTACAGGATGGCAATGAAACTAATTATACTCAAACAATGATTAGGTTCTTTCTTGTTCATTATCTCCTCTTATTGTAGTCATGTATGCAATTACATTCAGTTGCTTTTCTGTTTTGCTCTCTTACAAACCCCTGCTTAGGTATTTATAAACCTTTAGTGTTTTTTTTATTCACATTACTTTCTGTTACAACATATAGATTGTGTGAATAATACATACAAAATAGTTGGCAAATCTGAAAGCTGTATTCAATTCCATTGACTCCAATATGTCTAATTAGACTTATTTAGAGTCGGTTAACCATGCCGAGCTTGAGTCGTATGACCTTTTACACATCACACTAGCGCGCTTCCTCGCCTCCTAACTGGCAGTCCATGGTACTACAGCTCTCGAAGCAGCAATTACTCAAACAAAAATGGCAGCGACCATAACATTCAGGAACTTATGTGCCTGGATAGCTTCCTGCGCCCAAATGTCAGTGAGAGCTTCGGTCTCGGCATCCTCCGAGGTCACACCGCGCTCTTTTGATGCAATTTATGGTTAATAGGATGAGAATAATTTGTGTTGGGGACAGGTGAAAAAAAATCTGTGAATCGCAAAGTCGGACACGCAGTGAACCTGTGAAATGAGTCAGCTTACTGTAAATAAAAGATGCTCATACACTCTTTAACAGAGAATCGAGCCAGAACAGAACCTAATGTTGAACTAGTACTAGATTTAGAGTTTGGTTCGGTTGTGTCTGGCATTGTCCAATTCAGTTGTTTTCCATTTACACTCAACATTTATCTTGGTTACTGGGCTTGGATCATTCTCAGCATGGTTTCAAAAGGGTAGTGTAAATAGGGCTTAAGTTAATGGTTATAGAAAAGCAAAATTTGAATTTAATGGGAAGTTATGAGCACTTGCAAGGCACCGAACCTTTGTCAACCTGTATCATAGCTTTCTAACAGTGGCTAAAGGTTTAAAAAGATGACTACTTTGTCACACTCCGACTTCCTTTAAACTGTAAGGAAACGACCCAGCATTTGGCTTGACTAAAGCATTTTTTTTGTGTGTGTTTGAATCGTGTCTTTTTAGGTTACCTCCTCACCAGACAAGAAGGACAGGCTGGCTCCCCAGAGAAGCCTCTGTCAGAACTGGGTCGCTTATCCTACCTGGCATATTGGAAAAGTGTCATACTGGAGCACCTTTATAAGCACCCAGATAAACACATCAGCGTTAAAGGAATCAGCAGGGCCACTGGGATGTGTCCACATGACATCGCCGCCACTCTCCAGCAGCTTGGCATGATTGACAGACGGGACGGCAGGTCAGTTTCGCAGCCACTCTCTCCTTCAGTTGCAGCTTGTGCATGCCGTCTGACTTATCCAGGCCAGGGAGTATTTTTAACAGCGTATCCATTAATGCTGCTGAATATTGACAGAAGTAAGTCAGGTTAAGTACCCCCAAGGACATGGAGCACCTGCGGTCCCGAAGAGCTTGTCTTTGTGCTTGTGTTTAACTGCACATCCCCCCTCTCTCTCCACTCTGACTCCTCATTCATGTGCTTTTCTTTGTGTTGTAGGACTGTGTTGGTCAGAAGAGAAAAGCTGATTCAGAGGCACATGGAGAGGCTGAGGGTTAACCCGCGGAAGAATGAGGTGGACCCAGATGCCTTGCGCTGGACTCCTTCTATGACTCTTAATGCTGTCCTGTCTGAGGAGGAGAGAGAGGCAGAGATGGATGTAGGTTTCTGTGCTTCAGGAAAGCTACACAGTGATTTAGAAAATAATCGTTTATTGCAGGAAATAGGTTAAAAAAGGGAAAATTGACATAAAATATTTAGTTACAGGTACATTCCAAACATTTATATGTTGTTTCTCTACCCTTTTGTTCAGACGCATCTGAAAACATGCCCCCTCTTGAAACTGATTTTGTTCCTCCACAAAACTTTCTATGAATATCCAGTTTATTGATTCTTTTAGACATTAAACATTTCTAAGAAATATATTTTGGGGATTTTATTTGCTTTAAATGTAAGCAAAGTTATAAACAGAAAAATATGCTTGAAAAATTTCACTCTGTGTAATAAATCTATAAGATGTGTTTGACTTTATGACCAGAATTACTCAAAGAACACAAACCTCACAATGATAGTCAAAATGATTGAGTTTGTCTTCACAGATCTGAAACGCTTTTAGCAGAGGATGTATGTTAGATTGGCTTAGGAGTTCAAATTGAGGCCAATAGTGAGAAATTCTCTCTGACTTTCAACAGCCATCTAATGTTGTACAAAATTGCCCCTAAATCATCACATAATTGATAGTGGTGAATAAACCATGAAATGCAATCTCTCTATGGTTGCTTAATGGAAATGTTTTCATCCTGACGGGCAGACATCCAATCAGGATGCTGCTCATATTATCTGGAAGGAACCTGCAATGATTCATTTGTCATGATATTAATTCCGATCTCTTGTTTTCCCATTAGGCTTGTTGCTCAGATGTTTTTTTTTTTTTTCTTTCTTTCTTTATCCACGCTTGCTCTCTTCCCAGTGATAATACGTCTGTCCATTTAATTACTAGGCCGAGCGGTTGAAGGAGCAGGCCAGCTGCTGGGAGAAGGAGGAGAGGGAGGGCTACATGATGACTCATGGAAGCAGGCAACCTCTTACCAAGGTCCACTGCAAGATTCCCTACAGGACCTATGAGCGCCGGCCAGCTCCCCCCTGGACAAGACGCGTCCAGCGACTGGAGGTTGCGAGCGACACCGATGACGACTCTGATAGCTCACCGCCTATCCTGACAAAAGCTCACTCAATGCTCACAGCCAAGAGAAAGGTGACTTTTAGAGTTTAATCGTTAGTTCCAAATATGATTATCACATTGATAAGACATTTCTCTCTAGTAAAGATCATCTCATTTATCTGCAATGTGAGTTTTAATAATTACTTATAAGTAATGTGCAGGCTCCAGTAGCTTCATTTTGTCTTCTGGAGCCTCCCCTGTGTGCCTGCAGCAGTAGATAATGGATTGTGTTTTCACTGCTAGTGTCAAGACTTTGCTGGCTAAACCTTGTTCTATTGTCAGCGGTCATGGTTAATTTACCGCCCTCTTCTGTTACTCCTCACATCTGTTCTTTTTATAAGGCACTGCCCCCTTGTGCTACACCTAATATTACACCTAACCAGAAAAATGCCTTATACTGGCAGGCTGAGTTTATTTAGTGCCTTAGTATTGATTTTACATTCTGCTTGTGAAGGGGTTTTGAAGAAGAGTTGCAGACAACAACTGAAGAATGTAAAATATAGACTGTGGTCTGCTTAGTCTTGACTTTCTCATCTGTGGTTTTTCCACATTTTGCTGCATTGCTTTTTTTCAGGCTGAAGCTCATTTTAATCCTGAACTATCATTCTTAGCAGTTTACCCTTCATCTGTGATGGGGTAGGGCATCATAGTGCTTTTTTTAGTTGGAGGAGGGTAAAAGGAAATTGCTCTGTGCTTCTTAGATGTTTCAGGTAAAAGGGAGAAAAGGTGCAAAAAAAAAGCTGCACATTTTTCTTAGTTAACATAGTTTTAATGCTAACGTAATCCTTGTAATGTCTACTTTGAAGCATTCTGACTGAAAATGCTAGGTCTTTGTCATCGTTGTAACTAGGGCTGCAACTAATGATTATTTAGCAAATCGAATCTGTTTTTTTTTTTTTTTTTTGGATAAATCGATTAATAATCAGATAGCCAAAGGTTCCTTAAAAAAAGGCTGTTTATGAAATTAAACCAGGTGAAACTGAAACGTTTCCCCTTGAGGAGTTCTGGATAGAGCATATTGACAGAAGAAAAAGATTTTTTTATCCTAAATGCAAAATTTTTGCATAATTTTTTTTCAATTTTGGTATAATTGCTGCTTAAAGTGGATCGCTCTGTCTGCTAAAGGCATGTTCTACAGTCTCTATACTCCATTTAACGGTTAATTGATTGCTAAATTAGTTGAAAATTATTAAAATAATCTATTAATCACGATTCATCCGATTGTTTCAGCCCTAGATTTAACAGTTGGACCAACTATAGTATGCTCACAGTCAGATTGATCTTCAATAGATTTTTTATTTGAACATTTTTAATCATTTTGCAAGTGTAATTAATAATGCTCTTTAACGCCTGGCCACAATTTTCATAGTGAACCCTAAAACATAAGGGTTTGTTTCATGTTGTAGACCAACATATTGATATTAAGCCCGTTTTACTGGGATACCCTTAAATAGCATCCAGTGGAATAAAATTACTTAAGGGTAAAGGTTTTGGAAAAGTTAAAAGCGGAGTTTGGTTCTAAGATCTTACGCTAAGCTAAAGCATATCGTACACTTAGAGTATTTCATAGAGCTTTTTTTAATTTAACAGTGAAAACGATATGACACAAATCTCCCAGTATGATGCCGTCAGCTTAAATGGTCAGGCCAGGCAAAAGGGCTCATTAATCTGAGGAGTAACCTAGCGGTGTTTGGTAGGTGGGAAGATGGATGGAGGGAAATGCATGGGATTCCCTGAAGGAAAACCTGTTGGAAGCTGCAAAAAGTGTCTAGATGTGCAAAGCTGGTAGAAACGCACATAAAAGGATTTTATGTGCGTGCAAAAGGTAGAGACTATTGACTGAATATAAGTGACATTTTAGAGTTTTTTTTTGTCAAAATAATTCAAAACATTACTAGTTAAACAAATTTTAGCTACTTTGTGTTGGTCTGTCAGATTAATATTTGTATGGCAGTCATTACTGGTATTTTTTTCCCATGTTTAAGTTGTAGGAATCAAAAAGAACTGATAAAGCATCAGCTAGTTTTTAACTTTTATTTTTTGTTTGTGATCCAGCACTCAAATTCATTGCATAAGGACAAGTAGGGGTTAGTTGGAAGTTGTTAGGTGGAGTTAAAATTTTTAGCCTAGAAGCTCAGGTAGGTTCCAGGCAAATTGTAACTAAAGTTAATCACCAAGTTCCGTAGTTTTTCAGTCCAATTAAAACTATTTATTTTACTCAACTTTGATATGTTTTTTTATGGGGATTTTTTTTCTTCCAGAGCACATCCGTTCTCAAGAAGCGAGGGCGTAAAAGGAAGCGGATCAACAGCAGCGTTACTACAGAAACAATCTCTGAGACAACAGAGGTTCTAAACGAACCATTCGACAACTCAGAAGATGAGCGGCCAATGCCACGACTGGAGCACACCTCCAGGATGAGAGAGCTGGAGGAAGAGGACGACTATGATGATGAGACGCAAACGTACAAGATGTCAGCTTTACCAATAAAACGGCGGAGAGGTCGTCCAAAGCTTGAAAAAAATGCACACAGAGACAATCTTGAGAGCTGGAATGAAGGTATTTCCATATTTTTGAAAACTGTTCTTTACAATTGTAGAGAAATTTGTTAGCATTGTGAAAATGACTGCGAGTTCTGAGATATTTCTTTGGAAACCAAGTCGGCCTTCTTTAGCATGAGTTTAGACCGCCCAAGAACTACTGATTGGCCCGTCGTCTTTTCTTGTGTGATTGGCTGTCACCGCCGTCACTCCTGAGAAACACACTTTACAAACATCATGGTGACATGGTCCTAACTCTGCAAAATTACAATTGTAGGGTCGCAAACCTTTTTTCTCAGCTTTCTGGTACATTTTGGATTTTTGAGATAACAAACAGTCCAGGAGTTACGGTCCTGTGGAAAAACGTGGCTCTGCAAATGACGACAGATGGAGAGGGAGTCTGCTGCTTTAAATTAGGCATTTGTTCCTCTCTTGGGTCATGTTATCTAGATGGCTTGTTATATCAGGTGTATTAATTTACACAAATCTTTGAATTGGTCTCATGTATGTGCGAGTGTTTGGTTTTTAGACTTGTAGTCAGGATGTCTGAAAAAGGAAAGAAAGACATATGAGACTTCTTTAAAAGTCAAAGTTTAAGTTACATTCAAAGAGTGTAACACCCCTCCTAAAACATCCTCACTGGCTCCATAAAGCAGCATATTGACTTCAAGATCATCCACCTCATTTTAAAGCTTTCAATAACCTTGCAGAGTATAATAATTGTATTAAAAGTGCTAATAAAATGTATTATTGTTAAATATAATTATTAAAATACAATTCACAAATGTGATTTTATATCTCCAAGCCTATAATAATTGTAAAACTATGTGTTTTTAATCTACATGGATTGTTGCGCCCCAATTTGTCCAATAGTTCATGACATGCATTCATATATTTTGTCAGGAGAGGGATAACAGAGATGCAGGAGAAAATGGAAGAAGCAAAGAGAGAAAGTGGAGAAATCACAGAAGAACTACTAGAAAACACACTGATGTTATATATATAATGGTTACAATAAAAAATACTTGCATCCTCCCCACTTCTGAAATCAAAATTTTGTCCATACCACTGATGATTTTGTTAAAAACGCTTATTCCTAAACAAGGTATTATTTCCTCCCTTTAAAATATAATCGGGTCAAAGGTTACCTCTTTTCAGCTCTCTATAGAATGAGGCTAAAATACTACAAAGTCACTCTAATACCTCATACACAACTTGCCAATATTGTTTTCTCCATCTGTACAGTAAATATGTTATTCTACCTGGAGTTCAGAAGAATAAAGATATTTTTATTTTAATTTCCAGGAGCTGAACTTGTCTCAAAGAGACCCTGCAGACCTCGTCCAGTTAAACGGAAGAAAGGCTGGCCCAAGGGGGTTAAACGTGGTCCTCCTAAATGGAGGCACAAAAAAGAACGCAAGATGGGCTATAAGCTGAACCTCTACACGCCGCCTGAAACCCCTATGGAGGCAGAGCAGCACCACATTCGCACCGAGGAAACAAAGCACACACTGGACCAGGAGCCGTTCAGCGGAGATGAGGAAACAAAAGCAGGACGATCTCTGGACAGTCCAGCTTTACTGCCAGAAGGGCTCCACTCGGAGCCCCCGAGTCCTGCTGATCATGGCTCCCAGACTTCCAGCTCGCCTGAAGGATCACCTATGGCTTCGCCAGTGTGTTCACCTGCTATTTCTGTTGAGGCTCCCTCCCCACAGCCTTTGGAAAGGACTGACTCACCGGAACCGGCAGGAGATGAGAAGCTGGAGAGTGGGCGTCAGCCGGGCTCTCCTGGCAAAGCTATGGAGGACGGTTCTGAGAAGGCTGCATCAGCAGAGAACAATACTGAGGAAAAGTATGGAGAGGAGCAGAGAGCTTGGATAGAGGATGAGGATGCTGATGATGAAGATAAAATTCGCAGCAAGAAGGCGGTGCAGAGTGGCGCGGAAGAGTCAGAGCAGAGTTCGAAAGACACACCTAATGTCCCCCAGACTTTTTTAGATCCAAAAGAAGATGATAGCTGTGAACTGAGTCAGCAGGTTTCTAAAGAGTCATGCGTTGAAGAAGTACCGGTTGGTGCCACGGAAAAGCTGCAGGATGCAATAACAGAGACGGCCGTAGAAACACGGCCTCCTGAAGCAGCAGCAGTTGCTTCCATAGCACCTCCAGACTCTGATAATCCAGCAGACTCGGAGTCTGAGGAAGAAGGCATGCCCAGTCCTGCTTCAAACCATCCACCCCTCCCACCCGCAGGAAGGTCCACGCTGAGCCCCGTGCTGAGAGAGGATCCCCCTGTCTGCACAGAGTTTGACTCAGAGACCGTCCAAGCTGTTCAGTCTCTGACGCAGGAAAGCGAGGGAGAGACGGTGTTCCAGGACTGCGCTGAGAGCCAGGAGCCCTGCAGGAATCTGCAGACGTACGCCCATGTGGCCAAGAGCCCTCAACTCACTTCCCTGGACGACTGCCCTCAGTCAGACCACAGCAGCCCCCTGTCCTCGGCTCAGTCCCATCCCAGCCAGTCAGTACGCTCCGTCAACAGTCCAGCCGTCTCGATCCTGGAAAGCGGCTATACTCAAATAAGCCCTGACCACAGCGCCATATCGGTGCCCTCACTCCACAACATGGAGACCAGCCCAATGATGGACGTACCGTCTGTGTCAGATCACTCCCAGCAGGTCGTGGACAGCGGATTCAGTGACCTCGGTAGCATCGAAAGCACCACGGAGAACTACGAAAATCCCAGCAGCTACGACTCCACCATGGGGGGAAGCATTTGTGGTGCCGGCCCCACCCAGAACAGCTGCTCGTATGGCACTATCCCCCCCAGCGGCCTGCCCCAGAGCAGCTGCGCCGTGAGCCAGCAAATGGCCGCCGTTAACCCCAACGGCTGCGGAATGATTCAGCAGAACAGCCTGAGCTCGCCGCCGCACTGCGGTGTCAAGTCGCCGCAGGGCTGCGTGGTGGTAGAGAGGCCTCCCAGCAACTCCCAGCACTCCCAGCACAGCCAACACACCCAGCGCAGCCAACACAGTCAACACAGCTCTCACAGCAGGCACGGCCCGCCACACAATCAACACAGCCAACACAATCAGCACGCCCCTCACAATCAGCTCAGTCAACACAACCAGCACAGCCACCATCACAATCACCGCCTGCAACACAATCAGATCAGCCAGCACAATCAGCACGCTCAGCACGGCCTGCACAGCCAGCAGCAGCAGCAGCAGCCGCCCATGGCCCCGTGCTCCATCCCCCCTAACTTCACCACCACCATGCAGCTGGCAGACATCCCCGAGTCTGGCAACCCCAACTTCGCCCTCTATGAGAGAATCAACCCTCAGGGGGAGTATGGCGGCGGACATTATTCCCAGTCCTCTGGCCTCAGCCTGGCCAAGCTGCAGCAGTTCACCAACACCTTCATCGACCACCCTCATTCCCTCCCCTTCAACCACGCAGCCTCACACCCCATCACCTCGTATGCAAACAATCCGTCGCTATCATCACAGCACTCCAGCTTGGTCTCCTTACCCCAGACCCCTCACAGAGTCCCCAACCCACAGGTGCAGGCCACCATGACTCCTCCCCCAAACCTGAGCTCCCCATCCTCCATGATGCTGCAGCCCAACATGGGTATCTCCCGTTCACAGCGCGTGCACCAGATGACGTCAAAGAACCACATCTCGGCCCGCTCCAAGTCGGCGCCGCTCTCCCACAACCACCAGCATCAGATGTATACCCGTACGCCGCAGGCCGTTGCCATGCAGGCGCCGCCCAGGACGCTGGCGGCCATGCCGCGTATGAACATGAGCATGAACATCATGCCCGCGCCGGGTTACAATGTCAACTCAATGAACATGCCCTCCCTCAACGCCATGAACGGCTACAGCATGAGCCAGCCCATGATGAACAGCAGCTACCATGGCAACCACGCCTATATGAACCAGTCACCCCAGTACTCTATGCAGATGGGCATGATGGGAACGCAGCCATACCCCCAGCAGTCCATGCAGGCTCCGCCACATGGCAACATGGTGTACCCTCCAGCTGGTCACCATAGTTACATGAACACGGGCATGTCCAAGCAGTCCCTGAAAGGTCCTCCCTTAATCAGGCGGTAACTCTCCACAGGACAGAGCTGCTTCTCCTCCTCCCGTGCATTTGGCTGTTTTTAAAAAAAAATGCACTGATCAGGCCTTGCTTTTTGTTTTTGTTTTTGGTGTCCCTTTTTTTATGTTTGTTACTTAAAAAAAAATAAAATAAAAATAAACCAGCAGCAGCACTTGTAAAGAATGCAAAAACTTTCATCCGTGAGGTAACTTTTAAAGCTAACGTTTAAAAAGTATTTTTTGTTCCTCCAGATGGGAAGCCTTACATCATTAAGATGAAAATCTATTTAATTAGTGTTAGCGTGTCTGATGTGTCTTTAGACCAGGCGGGTTGGGAGCTCAGTTGTAGAAGTTTCATCAGTGTAGCAGCCTCAAATGAAGCCATTTAATGCGCCTGCTGCGAGTGGAAATAGTGGCTGTTCAGTGTACCTGTCTAACAGTGCTGACAATTAGTTTGTACTATACTCATGCCTTTGTATATTTAAATTATTGTACTTATTTTGTAAAGTGATAAAAAGCATGCTTCGGTCTCTGTTAGTGACAGTGCATTGAGTAGTACTGTACAAGTGTTGTGCTTAATAGCAAGCCATTTAAAAAAATATATGGCCTTTATTAGGTTTCCCTTCACGGGGAGAAAGATGAAACTATATTTTATTAAATCTAATAATGTAAAAAAAATGTAAACTTAGTCTTGTTTTTCTGTTTGGTTTGAGAGGTTTTATTGCGATGTATGTATAATTCTGAAGCCTTTTTGTAACAGATCTCCTCCAGGCAGCTTTCTGTTTAATAAAACAGACTGATTTCTGTCAAAAAATAAAGCATATCTCCGTGTTTGTACCCTTAAAAAGAAAAACAAAAACATTTCAAAGTGTCCCGAAGTGTGGCAGAATTTTAAAAGAACTAAATGATTATAAGGATGAAATAACAATACAGATATAAATCTAGTCCAAAGTCGATATTTTACATAATGCCTTTAAAGCTACGTTTTCATTCCATGTGTAGATTTGTTTTCTATCTTTATAAAGCATTGGATTTATATTTTACCGAATTGTAGAAGAATAGAGCCTGTGAATAGACCAAACTAAGCTAATGGATCGCATGTAAAACGCAACTTGTACTTGTGTTTTTGTTAATATTGCTCTTTTGTAGCCTTTGTACTTGTACAGAGTTGCTGGTAAGAACAGGGGTGGAAATATCTGGCTATGTGCACACAAATTGAACAGAATGACATTCTTGTATTTATGACTTTTTTTCCTTTTGTCAGTCACTTAAAATGCTGTAAATTTTAGCATAAGAATAAATTATGATTGACCATGTACTTGATTGTTCTCCTTTAATCAGAAGCATAGCTTAGATCCCACTTATTTGGAGAAAATAAACTTATCTGGACCAGAACAGTGAAAATAAATTCATAGCCACATATGGTGAATATTTAATTCCAGTACAAGGATTTGGTTTTTAGAAACTTAGTTATATTCAAGGACATGAAAAACCTACTTTAAAAAGTTTATGTAAGAATATGTCTCTAGCTTGTTTCAGATTTCTGCTTTTAACTTTTGAAGTAGATTTTTTTTTTTAGACTTGAGCAGAATCAGTCTCCTCTTCCCTCCAGGAGCTGTTGATCCAGCTCCCTCAGCTGCTTCAGGAAGCCCCAGTTAGGGATGATCCGTCTCTGTCTTTTTACATGCTCGATGGCGTCCACAACTGTCATGTTCTCATAGATCATCAGGTAGGCGAGAAAGAGAGTGGCAGATCTGCTTCTTCCCATCACACAATGCACCAGCAGTTTATCTGGAGACAAACAGAGCGATTAAAATAGTAAAGTAGCAGAAAATTATTATTTTTTTTTAAAGATGGGAGCTGTTCCTAGTATTTTCATTTATTTCTTCACATATACAATCTTATTTAAAAGCAATAATGCCTCTTGAACATTCACGTTTCATTTTGGCTGATTAGGTTTCTCGTTATAAACAAGTTGGAGCACCTTATAAATGTAAAGAGAGGAGGTACAATTTGTTTTGGTCTATCACAATCAATAAAATTCATTAAAGCATGTGGTTGTGTAATACACTAAAAAAGTTCAAAAGGTTGAGCAAAATACTGATGTTATGATAAAAGGAGGCATATTATAAAGGTATAGTGGAGGATTTTTCAAAAGACCAGCCCTCTCCAATTTAAAACAAAAATGCACATGCACTAGCCAAGAGGGAATGCCTGTTAAATGCATGTGAGAGCATGCAGGAGCCCATTTCTCCTCGTGCACGCTCTGTTTTTTAAGTTGCTGTTTGCATTGCCCATACAAGCTTTCCAAAAGAGGATTTGCAAATTTTCCACTATGTCAAACTCAGCACCGGTAAGTGGCCGTAGGACGGCCTTATGTAAAGATATCACCAGGATTATTGACAATAAGGAGGATCACTTATTTTGATGATCCACCCGGAAAAAAGAGTATCCTCCGCTATACCTTTAATAGAACTGGTGAAATAGTCTTACTCTGAGGATTTTCTAGAGTCTCCTTAATGAACTTTGCAGCAGAGAAGAAATACTGGCTGAGGTCAAAAGTTGGGATGTCTTCTGCCACCACGCCATAATAAACAACGTCCATGTCCCTGTAGTAATCCGCTCCAGTGTCCACGTTGTTCCACGTTCCCTCTGCAGCATTCAAAATGTGAGTAATACCCAGCCCCTTCAGGGTAAACTTGTCCTTCGCAGTCTGTCTACAGGAAGTTAATAAAACATGCTCTTAATACCTTTTAGTGCTGTGAAAAAGTGTTTACCCCTTAAATATTTCCTTTGTTTTTTTTTTTATAATATAACATTTGCCCTCTTTTGTTGAATGGTGATTTAATCATCAGGTTAAAGACATCTATTTGGTTCTGATCCATGAGCCACAGCAAGCACTGATTTATACCTGACCTGTAAAATATGAAATAATATTTCTCTGTCATGATGAAATAGGCCGAACAATACCCTCATGGTCTGTAGAAATTTAAGAACAGATGAGAAACAAAGTCTGATTTATAAGTAAAGAAAGATTTTAGGGTTTTTGGAATTCAGGGAACCACAGCAGTGAAAACTAAGAACATTACTGAACCTTCAAAGGTGACGCCATATTTGTCCAAGAGCACATGGAGAATTCATCAAGCAGCTCACAAGAGTGCCCAGAACAATATATAAAGCACTGCCTCATTTAAACTCATATTTCAACACCAAGAAAGAGAGTGGACAAAAATGGCTTAAGGGCAGAGATCCAAGAAAAAAAATAAACACTACTGTGGTTTTCTGAGGACTAATTACACTGTAACAAAAAATAATAAATATCACCTTGTCAATTTTTCTTGAAATAAGAGTCTATTTCCTTGATTTAAGCAGGTAGAACAGTTTGGCAATGGAATAAAATTATTTCTGTTTAAAATATGACAAAACCCCATCATCTTATTTCAGGTGCAGCATTTTTCTTTTCTTTTAGGGAAAAATGCAAATTTTATTATCAGATCATCTTATTTACCAAATTAAATTAGCAATGCATACCTTTTGACTGAAAGTATTAGCTCAGTGCATATTTATTTTATATGGGAGGCTGCATGTTTAAATACGCATTTATCTAACCTGAGACTCCTGAATTGGGCAAATTGTAGCTCCACCTCCTGTTCTTAGCTCCTTTCCACACCTTTCAAGAGTCAAACCACTATCCTGGGTAGGAAAGGAGCATTTACCTTTACAGATGTATTTCTGGATGCAAGCGCACACGGACAATGCAAGTCAAAACCAGGATTAAAGCCTTCCAAAAAAGAACTACAAAAACAAAAGTTGGATCTCCATTTTAAAAGCTAAAACACATGAAGGAGATTAAATTTTCATGTGTACACATCAGGGAATAAGGTATTTTTGTTAAACTTGGTGAGGTGGGCTGTTTCTATACGTCCTGTCACACAAGGGATTGTGAAAAACCGTATATCTCCTACTCTGCAGATAGGAACGTTGGGAGGTATCTATGGAAACTTCCTAATTCCTCTTCCTACCTCCTCTCTTACTGTCTGCACTATTTCCACAACACTTATCATAGTGAATGTTAATGCACTTCCACTTTGGCTTAACTGTCCTTACCAATTGCAATATTTGGAAATAGCCAGAGGAGATTAACAGTGCAAATGACCACATTGCTTTGGGGCAGATAAACTTATTTTTTAGTAAATTATCTATTATTTTTTTTATCCGTTTTTTCTGTGTAGGCAAGGTTGAAACTTTAAAAAAGAATACCATTCTGACAATGAGACGTTGTAGTAATAGTGTGATGATCTGGCCCTGCATAGCTGCTTTAAGACCTGGACATGTTGCTGTTATTAACTTAACCATGAATTCTGCTCTCAAGTAGGAAATCCTGAAGGAGAACGTCATTTGATGATCTCCTCTGAGCAGCTCAGGAAGGATAAGACTTTATTTCAATTATTTCTTTTCAAGGCATTTGAAAACACTGTTCTATATATAGGCATTTTATCTTTACTTGATATTTGAATTTCTTTAATGACCTGAAATATTTAAGTGTGAGGAAATAAAAGCAAGAGCAAAAGAAATCTATAGGGGCAAACAATTTTTCACAGCTATTTCTATTTTTAGACTTTCTGGGACTTTTTTTTTTACTCACTCATCTCCGATGTAGACGTTAGGCCAGACCTTGTTGACATGAGTGTAAGCCACGCTCCCACGGTTGAGGATTTTCTCCAGCTCGTAGCCCCCAGGTGTGACATAATCTTCCGCTGCGCTGGACTCTTCTGCTGCTTTTGTAACATTTATCTTTGATCCGCTCTTTGACTTATATGAAGCCATTTCTCATAGTGGCTCCCTTCCACACATGGTTTCTCTGCCCGAAGTCGTAAAAAAAAGCAACCTTTTTTTGTTTTTTATCTTCAATGTGCATCTCAAGCTCCACTCACCGAGACATGGAGGACCTTTGTTTTCATCCCTCTGCCAGCTTGCTTGAAGCAGAACATGTGAAGGGATAGTTCTGGGTGCAGATTGTGTAACCTTCTCTGTGACGGAGCATCAAATGCAGGGGATATTTTTAGGGCTGTGATGTGGCAGGGCCCCCTGACCTTAGCTGCCATGTCTTCCCTGCCTGTGGGGGAAAGCTTCCACCCAGCCAGTCCCTGCCATCCACATCTAAACACAGGACTTTAATCTCAGCTGCTGGCAGCAAGCTGTGTTTATCCAAACTCGGAGCTTGCCAGAGGATACCCACATGCAGTGGAGTGAACAGGGCCATCTGAGCCTTTGCTCCTTGAAATCGTGTCAGTATCCTTTAGCCTTTCTCCATGTCTTAAGATGCTGGGAGAAAGCATGTAAGTGCAGTCTTACAACATCCGTTAAGGATGGTCTGCATCTCCCACAGCCTCTAAGGCTGGAACTGAAAAGTGTCAAGCAGTTCAACAGATGAGGTTTTTCACTGGGATGGCACATGCTTTTGATTTCCCATTATATGATATGCACGGTCAGCTCAGAGATCTAAATGGGAGCCCCTGAAAGTGGGTGCGTGGCGATAGCTGCGTTGCAGGATGGCGGGATGAAGCTGCTAACATGTCAGACTGAGTTTTCACACCATCAAGCCCCCTTTATTTTCCCTCCTCATATCTTCATATTCCACCGTCATTCATTCTGACAGTGAAATCATTAAACCTGTGATATCCAATTCCTTTTATTTTGACAGCATCTTTCTCCCAGCGAGCTCCGAAGAGCATCTCTTATTAAGATGGCTTCAGCTTTTCATCTCTCTTTTCAAAGTCTGACCTGAATCTGTATACTCTCTCAGAACAAGGATGGCATATTTTTTTTGTCATCTTGCATCAAGCCTTTTTAGATATTTTACAGCTTTAACCGTACTTCACTGGACTGAATTGAATACTGAAGTGGAGCATTGTTTATTTATAGGCATTAGCTGTTTCTGTGTTGTTTCAATGCAGGAGGGGTCGTGGCAGCTTAAACTGACGGTGGTGTATTTTAGAAACCATTCCTAAAGGAGAGACGTGTAGATTTGAGATCCATCATGGGAAAATTTTCTCAGACAAATGAAAGATCTTTTTTCTTCGTCCTTTTTTGTCGCCAAACTTTGCAGGTAATTAGTAAATCAACGTGACAATGACAAAACCATTTTTACAATAGCTTTCTTCTTGTACTTCTTCAGTAAAGGTTAGACATGTGTAGAACATTAAATGTATTTGTAATTAGATTTTCAAACCTGAACAGTGGATCTCACTGCTTTTTCTAGAGTTACCATAGACCTTTGGCTGTTTCTCTGGCAATATGTCCCCCATTTCCAGCCTGTCAAACTTAGGCAGCTAACATTGCCTTGGTAGGTTTGCAGTTGTGCTAAAGTCTTTCTCTTTTCAGATTCATTCTCTCTGATCTGTCTGCAGCAGCTCCTGGTCTGCTTGATGCTGTTTGATCATTAATGTTTTCTAACAAACATTTATGGCGTTTAGTGAAGAGGTTATGTTGTTACAGAGGGGATAATCATACACCGTTCACTAATAGTGTACTTTCTGAAGGCAGCTGGTTGATTGGCTCATTTAGGGGATAAAAGGCCTCAAAATAAATCCATTCAATCAATTCGGAAATACTTTATTAATCCTAAGGGGAAATTAAATGTAGTAACTCATCAGCTCTTTTCTCAAATAATCTGAATAATCTTGCAGTAAATTATTTTTATTTCTTGCAGTGCAACCATTTCACAGAAGAGAGAAAAACAAGATTGTAAGAAAAAATAAGATATAAGAATAAAATAAGATTAGGATTACAGTATATACAATCAACATTTTTTACAATTTACAATGCTGCTCAGTACCAAATTACTATTATTGCACATGACCTTGTTATTGCACATAGTGAAGTAAATAAATAAATAAATAAGTAATTTAATTAAATGACTGTCAGGGAGATGAATTATACAGTTTGATATCCACAGGCAGGAATGACCTCCTGTGGCGCTCTGTTGTAAATAATTGTTAAATAATTTTAAATAATTGTTGCAGATATTGATAAATGTAGGCAGTAAGGATCTTTTATAGGGGTCTGTTTTCCAGCCTTCTTTAAATCTCTCTTTTTTCCTAGTGTCAGAAAGCACTGAGCATACTGACTCATCAAAGAGATGACTTGAATTTCCTGCTTCTCTCTTCTCCTTTAACCTGCTTTGTTTCCTCTGTGCCTCCTTTTCAACTCAGCTGGTACTTGCGAAGTAGCTGAAGTATTTCAGCTTTAGATATGTTAATGAGCTGCTCCCAGGTATAAAAAGGAAACTTTACATGGTTAGCAAATGTCTAAAAAGATAACATAATACTGGCAAAAAGCTCTTCAGTTGTACAGCATCAAAAGCAAGAGCCAAAAAAAAAGGAAAAAAAAAGAAATTCTAATCCACAAATATAGGATCTATAGTATTTTTTAGAAAGTAACTTGATAATCAAGCTAGCAGAGATACCCCAACATGGAGCAAGCTTACAGTATGCAGTGAAATTCTAGAATTTATTTGCAGATGTCTTTAACCATGTGTATTTTTATTTTATTTTACAGTTACACACCACTTTGGGCCGGATTTATCAAGATCCAATTTTGCGTGCAGTAATTTGCGCTCGCAAACTGGAATTTTGCGCGAGGGGCTGGACCATGGTTTGCGGGTGATTTAACAAGAGCGATTGCGTAACTGGTGGCAGGTGCAAAACTGTTGGAGACGCCCTATTTAAATGATGGTTTTGCGCGTTTTGTGATTGGCGGCAAAGTAGTTTGTAGTTTCTACAAACTAGTGCATTAAGAAATTTTAATCTTACAGTGATATATAAAGAAAAAACTTTGGCAACCTTTATTCCCTAAGGTGGTATGTGGCTGAATTTCTACTTCACTGCAGTAAAAAAAAAACAACAAAAAAAAAGAAGTTTTTTTTGTATTGGCCTGTAGAAAAATGCACATACCAAATGGCTCACAAGAAGTGACTGTGGATGAGATTACTGCGCGTACGCATCCCCGCAGCATTGGCATGTTGCTCCACAGGCGCAGGGGGAGAACCTCGACCCCGTCGGACAGCACTTCTGAAGAAACGAGATTGGGAGATCCCAGCTCTCGCTGCAACCGTACGCTGGAATGACCCAGATGCAAAAAAGTGCAATGCTGCAAGGAGTTTTGTGATATCTGGTATTGCGTGGGTCCTCCTTGTGGCTGGCTCCAAATCCATTCGGAGTTCCCCCAACAGCTCCAAAATGGCAATGCTGGATAAACGACATGTTTTGATGATCATTTCCTCGTTCATTCCAAAAATATTCACACGGAGTGAAAAAATGCGTTCTCTGCGTCTCCTTGCTTCATTTCGATGTCTCCTTCTTGCGACAATAACCGCTGCCATGTGTGCGCAATTACGCATACAGACCATTTGCACCTTCTTTTGAAACGTGTTAAATATAGAGTCAGATACCGTTAGCAAAATTGTTTTTAGGTTTAATAAATCACTTTGCGAGTGCTAAATTAATATATTTACATGTTCTTCTCACACAAGACGCACTTTTGCGTGTAAACGCCCCATATTGCATATTCATTGCAGAAAAAGTACTAAATGGATAAGAGGCGCTATTTAGCACGTTTTAAAGACCAAATCCTTTTAGCACGCTGTTGATAGAACAGTTTGTACATTTTTTAGCGTGCGCAGTGAAATAGCTCACGTTTTTATACACGCAAACCTTTGATAGATCCGGCCCTTTGTGTTGAACAAAATCTACAATCCCAATAAAATACATTACCATATGTAAGGTTTAGAGAAAGAGAGTCCAAAACACAGTACACCAATTTTTATTTTTTTTGTGTGTACCTTTTCAACTTTAGGGTTTTGATTGGATTAATATTTTACAAAGGTGGTGGACAAAAAAAAGTGTAAGGATATTTAATTTTTTTGTTAATATATCAATATATATTAACAATATATCAGCAATATATCTGATAGCTATGATGTAAAGCTGTAAGAGTTCTGATAATGAATTAGACACATTTGTAATTACGGTTTTTAAAAAGGTAATGAAAAACACTGTGTTACATTAAAAGTTGACAGAAAATCTAGACTGAAACTATTCCATTTTGACCTTAAATACTGGGGATTTATGAAAAAAAGGGATTATCCTTCATCCACACCTTTCTCCATCTGCATTTGTTAGGTCTTTTTTTCTTTCCAAAGCTAAAATTGAGTCCAGCTGACGGAGCTGGTTCAGAAATCCGATATTTGGGAGGATGTTTCTGCTCCTGGAGACAACTTTCACAGCTTCCACCAGGGTAAGACCCGCTTTGATCATGAGGAAAGCCAAAACAAGGGCTGCTGAGCGGCTGATTCCCCTTGCACAGTGGACGAGCACCTTACCTGCACAAAGAAATAACAGCTACAAATAGTTTTTCTATATATGTTAAGTATGAGTATGGAATGTGAGTAATAATACCTTTTTTTCAATTTTTTCACAATGAAACAAAAAAAACATACAAAACACAAAATTACCATATAATGGTATATGGTGCAAAGTTGATCAGAAAACGAGATAAAAAATGTGCTTTAGATTGCATGAGACTCAACACTGATGCTGGATTTACCTTCCAGTAGAACATCAATCCTATAAAAAACAGTTTAAGCTACAAAGCAGTTGTTAAAATCATATATTTATAAAGTATTATAGCCCAGCCAAAGTTGTTTCAGTAATTGATGACAAGAAAAAACAAAAAAATCCTACAGCTTCATATTAGTTCTCACTAAACTAAAGCTTTTTTGCAAAGAAATATGGGCAAAACTCTCAGAAGCTACATCTGCAGGTGGTTGAGCAAAAACACATCACACAGTTTCTGGCTTATGTTTAGAGACTCTTTGTAGGCTCTTCACTACTTCTGTTGATAATTTTCATAGAGAAACCTTGCTTAAACAACTGCACTCACACATATTCAGACAGGTTTGTGGATTCAGATGTTTACAGATGTTTGCTGCCAAGTAACCTTGGCAGCATCTAAATATATCCTGTATTGAATAATATTGTGTATTTTTCACTGATGTTATTATATATGCATTGGTTGTTCTTTTTCTCTATCTTCCTATATATATATATATATATATATATATATATATATATATATATATATATATATATATATATATATATATATATATATATATGTTGCTTTAAATTAGAAATGGTCGTAGCTGTGTAAACAGTGTAAACCAATGGAGCAAGTACTTACATCTTAGCTCTGAATTGGACAGCACATTATAAAACAGCCAAACTGCCATGATGCAAGCATTGCTTAAATACCATCTTGCTGAGTTCTCATCTAAACTCATTCAATATCACTGACAGAGGCATCAACAAGCTGCAGCCCTTCGAACTGTTACGTGACTCAGCTGTGCATCACATGTTTTAAACACAGTACTGTATACCACGCTAGGAAAACCCTGGACATTATGGCGTCTTTAGTGAAGAAGTATCTGCTATGATTGACTTCAACAAATCACCTGTCGCCTACTTTAAGCAGAAACCCCTCCAGAATCATCTGAATAAAACATGCAAAGTATCCGTGGAGACGTGCTGGAACTCTTTGTATGCAATTTTGGACTCCATCAGAGTTTAGTATGAGGATGCCCGCACACTTCTAGAGGAGCGAGGAGAAGTAACCCCAGTAACGAGACCCTGGGTTACATTGTTGGATTTCTGTTGCCATTAAAAATGGCTACCAAAGCTTTGGAGGAATCCCAAACCTTGGTTATTCACCTAGCCACTGTCTGGTTGGACCGTCTGAAACGCCACCTGCAGCCACCATCACCTGACAAGTTTGACTCTGTCATCATTTAATGAAAAATGCCTCAAAATTCTGACTCTAACAAAATTCCAACTGCATCTCCTGAAGAAGCAGGAAATATTCTTGCACCCCAAACTCAAAAGCCTCAAGCTGCTGTCTGCCCAGAGTGACAGGATGATTGTTCACAGCGAAGCAAGGCGTCTTATTAAAGGTAAAAGAAAAAATAGCTGGCTTGATATAATTTCAGTGGCAAGCACATACAACACATTATTTGTCCATGGTGTCTCTCATGTCAAAATGTCAGAATAAACCATTCAACAAGGTAGATGCATTGGTACAATAGCAGCACCTGAAGAGTGCTACATTTATTCATTAAGAACAGAACAAAAACAATGCCAGTTTCTCAATATGTGTACTTGTGCGTTCTCATGCGCTCGTGAAATGTCATCAGACTCAGCCACAGCACTTTTCCAATTCACAAGAACAATAAAGAGAATGTACAAAGTTCCCGGATATTGTTCTCGCCCTTCCAAAAAATTAACTATGGTGGGCAAATCAATCAGATATTTCACACCAAAAAATAAAGAACTAGCGTATTTTATGCATTTTTGTTGCCATAAAAATGGCCACCATATTTGCATCGCTACCACTTTTTGCTGACACAGTGACAACAAATTTCAAATTGAATAGAATTATCATGTGCACTATAAGCAGCCACACACTATCTCACTGGTTAATAAATATGATTAACATTGGCCTCGCGTTTCCAAAGTGAAGCGCACTTTAAGAGCAGAACCAACTCCATTTTGACTTGGAGCTAGCTTGAAGCATGAAGTCAAATGTTTGCCTTTGTTGGTGTAATCGCCTTGTTAGGGTGACGTTCCTATTTTGGTTCCAATGTAATGCCATCCATATCCATTGTGGGATAGTTTGACCAGCAATGGACCCAACATTACTGTTATATAAAATGAGTAGCCTGAGCCTAGCTAAGATAGTTTTCTTTGTTTTATGCAGCCTGGCGTGTTAAAAAAATCTAATTTTATATTTGGGACATTGATTCTTGAAAACCAGCTACTCTGACTATACACGGGAAGAATACAGCATTACGTCACATACAGTACTGCAGTATGTGGTGATGTCATCAGTACTGCCTCTGTACCTCGTGTCTGCAGCATGTGGTGATGTCATCAGCACTTCCTCCGTACCTCGTGTCTGCAGCATGTGCTGATGTCATCATTACTGCCTCCGTACCTCGTGTCCGCAGCATGTGCTGATGTCATCAGTACTGCCTCTGTACAGAGTATACTAATACTAATACTATGACTCTTTTTAGCCTATTTCTGATGTCATACTATACTATGACTCATTTTAGCCTATTTCTGACATCATATTATACTATGACTCATTTTAGCCTATTGTAGTGGGCTAAAATGAGTCATAGTGTAGTGTGACATTAGTAATAGGCTAAAAAGAGTCATAGTATAGTATGATATGAGAAATAGGCTAAAATGAGTCACAGTATAGTATGACGTCAGAAATAGGCTAAAAACGAGTCAGTATAGTACAACGTCAGAAATAGGCTAAAAGATTCACATTATAGTATGATGTCAGAAATAGGCTAAAATGGGTCATAGTATAGTGTGATGTCAGAAATAGGCTAAAAAGAGTCATAGTATAGTATGTATCAATTCAATAAAGGGAGTAGTAGGTTATATTACAAGCTACATAATGCGTAGTCAGTCTGAATTTCTTCGGTCAAATTGATCATATTATTATTAAAGTTATCAACTAATATAACCAATTTACCTATTTTGTGATGTTCTTTAGCTTGATAAAGCCGTCTTGGTCTACAGACAGAGCTCAACCTAGTGGTAAACATTTGCTTATTGCTCCTTTAGAGAACTTTTAGTTAAACAGCAACATTTTAATAAACTTGCTTTTCTTATTGATTTAAATATCAGATATGGTGGAAAAAAAGGCTTAAAATGATCTATACACAAAAATCAGTTAGCTAGAGATCCCAAAATAAAGCAGACATCACATTTGTGCTCCATGCGTTACCCTCGCACCTCCTTCATAATGCAATTTGCCTGAACCATACCTTTCTGACTCAGAGCTGCGTAAATGAAATCAGCTGTCTCTGAGAAGAACGGGCTCAAGTCAAAACCTTTGCAGTCTACTGCTTCTACTCCATGATACTGTATGTTGGCGTCTCTGTAGAAATGTGGACCGGTATCAATGTGCTGAGGGCCATCTGCAGCATTCACCACATGTGTTATTCCCAGATTCTGTAGCAGTGTCTTATCCCGAGCTGTCGCCCTGTAAATAGCACCAGAGATGATGGAAGGACTGTGATTATTTCTCGCCTGCAGCCATCTCTGGCAGCATATGTTTGGAAAAAATGCATCATTGGTGACTCAAATGTACATATTTTTCTATATTTGTGCCATCAGTTGGTCAAACATGCAATTTGTTTGCAGAAACAGCTTCACAATCGGATCAGCACATTCCCCAAAGTGAGAATGTCACTTACGCATTCCCGATGAAGAGGTCGGGCCAGACCTCGTTGACAGCTCCAGTGGGACGCCTGTTCTTTAGCAGAAGGCCCAGCAGGCTGCAGGTGGGTGGTGTCTGATCCGCTGACTCCTCCTCTGAGCTCATACCAGCTATTTCTCACCTCACTGTTGGTATATGATTACCTCTGTTTGAATTCCTATTAATATTCGCCAAACACATAGATGAATTTCCAATTGTGGTCTAGAAACAAACACAAAAAATAGCTACAACTCCTGTCCTTGGAAAGCTTGCAATCGTGTACCCTGTTTTGAGTCTGAGACAGTAACGAGTGTATTTAACCTGCTGGAAACTGACAGCTGAACATACCAGAGGCTAAACTGAGGCAGTTGGGCTATTTATTACTCTCATAATCATCCCAGAAGCCATGCTGCATCTTCACCGTGGTAATTTTAACATTTAGTTTGGAGTAGCAATCCTAATTGTGGACATAAATTTCTAAACTATCTTTGAAAAAGGCATCTTAACCATTGCTAAACAATATCTGCATGCTTAAAACCCCTTTTTAGAATCATTGAGCCCAGGATCTCATACACTTAAGATAAATGCCAGATTTGTGGGGTAAATAATAGTTGACCTGTCAAAAAATCTTCCTCCTGCACAGTGGATCTATGTAGCTTGTACAGAACAACAAAGGCTCTCCTGCCTAAATCTTTAGTAAAGCTTTTTATCTCAATCCTCAGAGTGGAGTCATACTCTTCCCATTAATGGATGATGGATTGTGCTTTGTGTTTAGATCATGCGATATATGTTTGATAAACTAACCATGCTTTTAAATTCTCCACTATTTTCTCCCCAAACTGTCAGCTGTGTTCCCTGGACTTAATAATGATGGTTGCTTCCTAATCTTCTCTTATAAAGGCCATTAAGGAATACAACTGGATTTAAACACTGATCAGATTATAAACCGATGGATTGACTTTACTAAAACCAGAATAGGTTCGCACTTACTAGGGATTTTTGTTTTTGTTTTGTTTTTTTAGGTTTTTGTAGCACTAGTGACTCGTTATTGGAAAGTAGGGTGACAGGAAAGGGGGAGAGACAAAAGACGACAATATTAATATTTGAGACAGCAAAGGACTAGAGCCTCTCTGCATGGATCATGCATGCTAACCACTGCTCTACCGAAGCACGCCCCTCAATTACAAGAAATTTGACTCGATGTTGATGGTGCAGACAAGATGCGAAGTGACTGAAATAATTTGTCACAATCTTCCCTGCATGCCTCAGAGTCCTGGAGGCGTACAGATCCTGGAGAGATGGAAAATTGTGGCAAATCACTTTCTCTGCAGACCGGACGACATGCTGCAGTCTGTCCTTGTGGTAAAAAGATCACTTGTTAAGACATCTAGTGGGATTGGATTCTGTTTAAGGGTATCAGAGTAGATATAACTTAATACAAATGTGCTTTGTAGGGATGGAACGGTTTATGAAAACCGTCCGAACCGTTCGGTTCGACTATCTTGGTTCGATTTGCGTGTGTTGCGTTCGGTTCATGCGCTGCTCCATTTTCTCATTTACACTACAGAGCAGAAGGTGGCGGTACTGCGACCAAAGCCAACCACCAGTAGTAAACAAGAAGAAGAAGAAGCGAAGCAGCGTAGCCGGGTGTAGCAGGGAAAAAAATCAGTTGTTGTGGAGAATTGTGTGGGTATGGCGAGTGGGAAAGAACAGGCGTTGGAAGACGCGCCAGCAGCACTTTATAGGTCTGCTGTATGGGACCACTTTGCATTTAGAGTGACCTACGATGACGGCAGAAAGAAAGTTGTGGATAAAAGTGCAACAGTGTGCAAGCATTTTGCAACACGTTTTGTTTATGCTAACAGCAATATGACCAACATGTCATGCTAACCCCGAAATCCCACATACTCCATCAGCGCTGCGCTCCAGACCGCCTGCACAAAGCAAAGCCTACAGCCTCCACTGTGGCTCCCATCCGCTCCGCTCTGAGTTCCTTGTAGATCGTAGAGGGCATGCGCTAGATGATTAAATTCAAAGCAGCAAAACATGCGGAAATGATCCATGGTTTCTGCGGATCATTAAAAATAATTACAATTCATTAATTTTTTAAAATTTTTTTCATTAATTTCATAAAAAAAAAAAAAATTTCTTTAATTTTTATAATTTTTATAAATTTTTGTATTCTTCGGTGTAACAATAAACATATACCGAACCAAACCGAAAACTGTGACCACGAAACCGTAAACCGAACCGAACCGTGGATTTTGTGCTTTGAAATAATCAGTATTTAATTTTTTTTTTATATAATTATGCCCTGCTTTGGGCTAATGTGCAAAATAATTTCTGCAAATCCTTTCGAGGGTTTGAATGAGTCATGTTTTCTTTTTTTGAATTAAGTCTACTATTATCCATGGTTTCTGAGTTTATTTATATTGTGATTATTGTGTTCAGCCATAGGCTTTCAGTCCTTAAGTCTCCTGAGAGTGTCACTTTCCTGCTCCTCTCTCAGCTGCTTCCACTCATTTAGTTAATCTCATCTGATTCCAATCCCACTAATCACTTCTCTAAGTATATATACTCTCTCTTTGTCATAGTACCACTCCAGTTTATGTGCTTTTGGTTCTGTGCTGGGAGGCGTTGTGGCAGTTTTTTTAATATGTTTAATAGCTCCTCTTCCTTTGCATTATTCACTCAATTAAACTTTGTTGAAAATTTGAAACAACAAGAAAACAAAAACAGGTTTCTTTATCGCAAATCCAGGCAGAATGTTACCAACTAAATGAAGCATGCTTGGTCATATGAACCATTTAGCAAACAATATCAAAGAGACCCTAAATTAACTAGCTACTAAAGTTGCATTAGGTTTGAACCTAATGCAACTTTAGTAGCTAGTTAATTCAAGTGTGTGAAAGATTCACTCATTTATGTGTCCATTATTTAATTGTTTTTAAAGATTTTTTAGAAGTTAAATATAAAAAAACATATCTTCACAATTAAATTCTGAAAGAATTTCAGTAGAGTCTGCTTCTGTAGGTTAGTTGGACAGTCTCATAGGTCACAGGGTAGAATTTGGTTCTGATCCTTTGACCCTAACAGAAGAATAGCTATTGCTGTTCTCATGTTTCCAAACATGATAGGGAAAGTCCCTTCAGTCTTCAAAGCAAGCCAGTTGGGCCTCAGGTTTTGACACCTTTGTCCTTAGAGATTTAGCCCTTTTAAACTAAGATCTCAAAAAGTGGATAAAGAAATATGCTCCACAATTAAAAGGAAACACATTTTTACTCCATGGTTTCATGTTTTAATTTACAAACAAAGCTGATGTGTATATCTAACTCCTTCAGAAAATATAAAACATTTTGGCCCTCATATTTGATTAAAAGACAAGAAGATATCCTTTTTAAGGATAAAAGTTTGATAGTTTTTGTGACTTTTGCTCCTTTTTTCTTATTTTCTTATTTTATAACCTGAACATTTCTCATTTTATTTCTGAACTTAACAACCACACTTTTTGTTTTTCTTTCTAAGATGTTCGTGCTGTGAAGTGTAGCTTTTACATTTTTTCTTACCGCTTCCACATCCAATTGTGGGAAAATAAAGGATATTTATATTCTGTTCCAACTCCGGTGCTTGTTGCGTGGAGCTAAGGAACCGCAGCTATAGATTTGAGAAGCCTGCGGTGAAAGACAGTGCTTGTCACTACCCGATCTGTCCCGAAAGCACGATCCATTCTGCGCATGCGCCATCAGCTCATTTGCGCCTGTGCATCCAGATGTACATCTGGGTGGTCCTCGATTTTATTTTTGTTTAAAATACCTAGATGATGTTTTCCTTACTCAAAAATAGTAAACGTACTAAAATATGATGTGTTAAAGGTTAATAATGTATATCCTGACAAAAAAGATGCCTTAAAAATCCTAAAATCCTGTTTTATCTCTCCTCTCTGCCCGATCTGCACCGGAATTGAGATCCTACGCTACTTCCGGTCACTAACTTTTTTAGCTTTGGATTTAAACATAAATATAGTGTTTTTGAGCTTTATGTTTTCTATTTTGTTTTAACCTTATGCTATATAGTGTGTAATCTAAAGAAAGAAACAGTTAAAATGCAGATAAACATGGTTTAATCATCATATAAATGTAAAAAGTATAAACATTGTCTCACAAAAGTCATAAAATATTTTTTACAGATATGTATTACTATCCTTTAGTGAGTTAAGGATAGAAATAAGTAGTTTTAGTAACATAATTACGTTATTTTTGGACACCTGGATGTATATCTATTTGAGCATGCGCAGAACGGATCGTGCTTCCAGGACGGATCGGGTAGTGACAGTGCTTAAGGCCCGAGAGAAGCTACAGCTAGCCTAGGCAAGCTATTGAGGCTAACTGCTGAGGTTTGATGCAGAACGGCAGAAAATCGGATACGTTTACTGGCGGAGTGAGGGCTGAAGGTGGGGAAGAGGGACTGTGGCTTACCATGAGGAAGACAGGGTAACATCGGGGGAGCCCTTCAGGGAGACAGAGTTGGAAGAGACCGTTGCAGGCCAAGGCTAGACTCTAGAGGCTAACTGCTGGAGTCGAAAGGACAACTGCTGAGGATCAGTGGACAGACTGAGCAGCAGAGCGGGATTGGAGAAGGCATCAGTTGGTCGATGTCTGTACACCGAAAAGGAAACAGTCCTTCTGGGGCTAAAGTAAAATAGCTTTTTTTTAAAGTCGCTAACAAACATGTTAAGAGCATTCTCCAATTTATCCTTTGTTGGCATTATGTTCTCTGTCTTCCATCTTGATTAAAAACAAAAACGCTTTTCTCTGCGTCCTCCTTTATTATAATAGTGGTCAATTCAGGATACTTTTTTTTAAATCTCCTAATTTTTATACCTGTCAATGTACTTGGGATTGGGGTGGGGGATATATCGAATATATGCGATGTATCTTGAGTTTCCCCATGCAGAATAGTTAAAATAACTCTATCGCAACAATCGAGTACAAATTCGCATGATGACATTAAGCCTTCTGCATCTATATCACTGAGAGTTTTATTTTTCCACAGAATGCATCATAAATCCCTCCTCCTAACGGGGTTATTTTCTGCGTGCCACGCACACTACAGCAACCGGCAAATGAAATATGGCAACAGCAGAAGTGTCAAGTAACGAAGTACAAATACTTTGTTAGTGTACTTAAGTACACTTTTTAGGTATCTATACTTTACTCCATTACTTATTTTTTTTCCTACTTCTGACTTCTACTCATTACATTTTCACACAAGTATCTGTACTTTCTATTCCTTCCATTTTTAAAACTAACGTTACTCGTTACTCTTGGCTTCGGTTTAATATTTATAAATATTTATTTCACGTCATGAGCGCCATCCAATGCAGATCATTGGCGCCATCCACATCTAATGAAAACTAGTGTAATTGGATGAGTCATATAACGCAAACACTAATTGGTTAGCTATTCGTCAAATTTATGCTGTCACCAAAGGAAATCATCAGAAGCAAACAGGAGCTCTTCAAACTGTAGACACAAATTGTTTATGTCATGCTACAATGTTGGATTCAGAAAAAGATGTTGAAATGTGTGAAAGGTCGGACACAGGCCAGAGTGTATCGGGAGACGGAGACCAACAAGACCTCCCTCATCCTTGGCCCTATCTCAAAGAATTTTTCGAAATAGTCGAAAAATTGTGCTTTCAATTAAAATAGTGGCATTGGCTGTTTTTTTTTTTTTTTTTTTTTAAGGTTGCTTTATACTTTTATAATTTAAGTAGTTTTTGGAGCACATACTTTTTCACTTTTACTTGAGTAAAGGGTGTAATATACTTCTGCAACCGCATACATAAAATGACGCTTGCGTCTGGTTACGAGCCAGTTTTGCTGGTATGCTTCTGCAACGTAACCTGACTCCGCCAGATGGAATTGCTCTGCATATCCATCTGGAAACCTTCCGTTGAAATAATTTTGGGAAGGGGCGAAAATACTGGTTAGCTGATTGGCCTATGTTGCTGATAGACGGGCCAAATAAACCAATCAGATCAACGAAGCATATGACGTACTAACAGCCAGGCTACTCTTGCCGAAACCAGTCGGGAGAAGAGCAAAAACATATTTTTCTCTGAGAAAAGCCTCCAGAGCAGTGTTNGAGAGTCTCCAGACTGATTAGCGAGTGAAATCTTGAAAGCTCGCGAGATCAGGATGGTCTCACGAGGCTATCTGCAACGTCGGTCCCTGCCAAAGCGCTAGGGGGGGCCTATTCGAGAACTTTGCCGGATGGTCATGAGAACTTCTTCGGGGGTGCTAGCGGGATTGTTTATTTTTCAAAACAACATGTCTGAGGCATCGTAGAAGTAGTTGTACTTCCGAACCTCCTCGATCAACCTTTCATCGGGGTTATCCATTGTTGTTATTACTCCTCGGTTTTTAAAAATGCAGGCACTGAATCGAGAAGGACGACCACAGACAGGCAGAAAGCAATACCAAGGACCAACCACAGCTGCTTTTTGTCTGCGCACTTCCGCTTGAGGTCTGTGTGGGTTTGCGACCGTCCGACGTGTAGTCAGGATTGTTTTGAGGTGCATGACGACGGTTGCCGAGCTTCTGTGCGGGGCGTGTGGTCGTGCACAGAGAAAGATTTGATGGTTGCAGAGGCTATGCGTCAGAAGTATAAATTGGCCTTAAAGAGGTCAAGCTGATACTACAACTTTTTGTTTACTACAAGTGTTTTTAAACTGCAGTATCTATACTTCTACTTAAGTAACAAATGTGTGTACTTTTGACACCACTGGGCAACAGCTGGTGTTTCAGGCAAGCAATGAGTGAGTTTGATTTCAGAGGCTGGTCTACCTGGATGTGGTCCTTGGAGCAACATAAAAATTAGGAAAAAATATATGCCAAACACATAGTTGGCAAGACTAAAAGGTAAATGAATAGCAAAGGTCAGGTGTAATAACTGATAAACCGAGTCCGGTCTGAATGCAACTTAACCTGCCTCAGTCAAATTGTTTGTCTCTATAGTCAGTAGTTTGTCAGCTCTGCATTGCCATGGTGCAAAGATGTCTGCCTCCACCAAAGGGAACCAGCTCCTATGTAATTATATATAACAATTTCTAAGGAGAGGCAAACATAAAGATTGAGACTTTAGTTAATTGATAATAAAGAACATACATATGGATCATATTATATTTCTGCCTGTAAATCTCTTTTATTATTACACACTGTACCTTTAATCGTGAGGTGGAATGAAAGAAGCTAAATTTGATTACTTTGTAATTTGATTACTTATCTGTAATCAGTCACTTTCATTCTTTTGACTGTTTGCCCTGCAATTTGTGCCCTTTAGCAGTCTGTCAGCCATGTCTTCTTCCGTTTTTTGAGGACAACATACCTCCAGATGTGCTGCATAACCTTCTTATGCACCTTGATGTATATCATTCATAGACCTTTCACGTAAGCTGGCTGCTTCTGCTGCTCATAGCACGTCTGGTGTGAACGTCACATAAGAGGGAGAGCTGACAAAGCACTCATCACTGGGATTACTCTGTCTGCTATGTTAGTATCGCTGCATGCCAGTGTACCGGCGATTTAAGTTGTACTGTAATCTGATGTTTGTATCATCAAATTTATGTTTACCAGCTGTGACCCACTGCTCACATTCTCTTTTGTTGTGTAAGACTCTTTTGTTTCTTTAAAGTCTAGCAGACTCTGTGCGATTTTTTTCAATTGTTGCACGCAGCTACAGCTCACAATGTACGACGAAACTGCAGGGTTTTGTCGTACAGGGTGAGTTCACGGCTCACCATGCATGTGTTGCCCGATGCTCTGATGCGATCTACCTGCTCACACTGCACGTCTAAAAACCACGTCGGACTCAGCTCCACAGTGAGATGGCGCTAGTTGGACTCGTCGAGTAGAAGAGAAATATGAATCTCACTAGAGTGAAATGCGCTGCGTTGGCAATTTGTGCGATTTTGTGTGCCTTAAAAAGCCCTAAAAAAGGCAGACGACGTATTTAGACAAAGACATGACTGAGCAAACGTGGCTACTATGGTCTGTCAATTTTACAGAAAGAACTCCATTTCACTCGCACCCCCACCATGCTTCTGTGTTTTCATCTGAGATCAAGAAGAAGAAGAATCCTTGTTGGTGCATGTGCACTGAGCGACTGAATTTTAAAGAGAGACTGATCGGCCCTCGTTACCCCCTGTACACTACTTGACTCACGATCAGGCTGAAAGTCGGCCCGATCAAAAAATTCTTGCGCGACTGGAAAGTCGGTCCGAAAAGGACAAAAAAATCCTACAGTGTATGCCCGGCTTAAGACAGGTTTGAAGGGTATGCAACGAAGTAGCCATGTGTCATCACTGCATTTATGTTTTATGCAATTTATTAAGTCCTGCCTCTAGAAATCTTTGGTCTTTAAGATAACATGTTTTGAAAGGAACTTACCTGCTACTGAAATTGTATACCTGTTGTGAATTATTGATGCAAGCACTGTCAATAATTTTAGGATTTATGGCAACAAAAAATGAGAGAAAAATGCCCTTTAATGACCACTTTTTAAAATTAGAACTGATAAAGAGTCTACAAGTATAAAATAAACTGACTTAGGCTTTTAATATTTTTGCAAACATGCTTTGGTTGGCTACATGCTTAGGCTGCTATAGCTTTCTTCTAGGTAATAACATGTTGCTATTTTTTTGTGATATTAGTGTACATTATTTACAGTAGATAGTATACTGTCCTAGCATAGAGGAAACATCATCCATGGGCACTGTCAACCATCTAACGACTAATCTTTTAATTTGTAGTCATTTTAGTTTTGTTATAGACTATTGAAAAAGTCTTTCCTGGTCTACAAGCCACATTTTTAGTTATAGGGCTTGAGTTTCAGTAATTGTTTTTCAAACTTCATTTAAGCTTTTATTTGCGACAAATAAATACAAAGGTTATGTAAGAAAGAAAAAAACTGGAAAAACAATTAACAGAATATATTTATTATAATAACAGATTTAAACATAGATATTAGCAGGAGGCAATCATATAATTAAGCGTAATTACTGCAACTTGTTGATGCTGCAGCTGGTTAATGGCAGTGCAGCTTTTTGTCCAGACTTCGGAGCTGCTCCAAGAATCCCTCATTGGGTGAAACATTCCTGTTGGCGCTGACTGCTTTGATGGCGTCCACCAGAGTCATGTTCTTGTGTATCATCAGGTATGCCAGAACCAAGGAAGAGGAGCGGCTCAGCCCCATTGCGCAGTGGACAATAACCTTGCCTGCAGACCATTAAAAACAAAAACACGTCCAGTAGATCATGTTGTAATTCTGGCATCCCCTTCAACCTTTATTTCCGTATTTACAACTTTGCAATCAAGGGATTATTGCTGCAGACATTACTCTAAATGTCCAATTTGTTATTCCTCTGTGGATTAAAAACCATGAGCATCACAGAAAAGAGAGCACTCCTAACTCCAGACTTAAAGTTTACAACAATGTTACTACGAATGTTTCTGCACACGTTAATCCCTGGTTTCTTATCGGGCCTGAGGATTAGGGAGCAGAGGAGCGAGTAATTGAACTGTCTTGGCTGCTGTGTATTTCTGCCGGGGATTACTGCAAGGCCCGCCACACTCTGGAGCCCCCGATCAGCCGGCATGTGAAGAAGGAGGCCTCATCTTATTACTGTCATGTCAGATACCGACTTCACTTTGCATAACAGGCCATGCAGACAGAAGCCACAAACATAATTGTGTAATTTCCATGTCCAATAAAAGTCTAGCTTACAAATTACCAGGGCAATCCATTTAAAACTAATTTCCCCGACAAAGGTCTGAGCCCATGAGAAGATTACCGTGGGGGAAGATATTAGCTTGATATTATGTTTAGTGTTTGATTTGCATTTTAATGAGTAATACAAGTGGGGGTTGCTGTGAAAGTAACTGCCTGACAAATGTTTCAACAATCTGCTTCGTCTTCCTTAATTTAATGTGTTGATGGTGATGAGAAACGCAAACAGCACCGTGAGAGCTTTCTCACCTGTTGGCAGACTTAGAGCATTCTTAATAAAATTGGCCGCTGGGTAAAAGAAGGGACTCAAGTCAAAGGACGACATGTCAAAAGCTTCCACTCCATAATAAGTGATGGTGGTGTCCCTGTAAAAACTGGGTCCTGTATTGACATTGAATTTTCCATCAGCAGCATTTAGCACATGAGTGATGTGGTGAGCCTGGAGTGTCTTCTTGTCTTTAGCTGCATACCTTAAGCAAAGAAAAAAATATAAATATATATACCGGTATATAAAAATCAGTAAATTGTTTTCTTATTTTTTTCATAAATATGATAAATATTCTCTCTGCAGTTTTCTTAAATGGAAAAAACAAGGTCCAGCTTCTTATTATAAATAAATGTTTCAAATACATAAACCTCTAGAAAACCAAAAAATCTTAAAAGTTGGAATATATAACGGTCCTCCTCCATCTTTTTTCAGAGTAAAACAATAATTTAAAACACACTTTTTAATACCACACAGTCTTCAAAGTAACCTTTTCAATAATCAAAATGACAAACAGATGTGTGGTCTCTTGGCAATAAATGGTAAATAAAGTAAAAAAAAAGAAGAAGAAAAAAAA